CTGGAAGAGAACCCCACTAACCCGGTAGAATTGCTGACCAAACAAAACAGTAAAGCGCAAGTTTACCACTTATCTGCAGTAATTAGGATTAAGCACTGAAATGAAAACGGTTAGCTTTCAAATATTGTAAGGGATACAGCATGAGTACATGTAAATTTAAAAATTACTGGATTTGGCAGCCACTCCACGACGTTGTAGTCGATATGAATGTAGGCTATGAAGCAAATGACCCGGGTTTCAAAGTATTCCAGTTGATGTCTTTTACCTTATTTTATAGTACACACTAAAGCTGGGCATAAGTTGTTCTTCTTTAATTCCACTACTGTGCCAAGGAGCTCATAGCTTCTCAGACAAAAAACTCTGTCCTGCCTGGGGAGCAGTATGCAGGAAATGCAAGATCAAAAATCACTACCAAGATTCAAATGAGTGTATACGGTTAGAAAGAGAGAGACAAGGAAAACGGTCAGATCCAAAACATTCGAAATCGTCGAAAAAACCGTTTGTCCTGAAAGTAGAAGAAGACGATGGCGTCCACTACTATGAAGTTCTGGACAAAATATGTGTACTCAATCTAAAACTGCAATAAGCGTAAAGTCTCTTGGCCTTTAATGACAACGCCACAAACCAAATTCGAATGAAGATTTATTGAGTGCACATACAAACGGCGTGGGTTGAAACTAAAACGGTAAAAGAGTAAAAAAGTTACAAGTTGCGACTAAGGTAAATTAGAGTAAAGAAATAACAAAACTGCAAAACGAGGACTGTGAAATACGCTTACATTGTTTCGGCCAGAGAAAACTGCTGAAGCGGACTGCGAAAAACGCGAAGCTAGGGACTTGCAAGAAACTAAACAGAACTGCGCTAAGCGCGGACCAAAATGCACTGCACAAACTGTACTGCAAAATTACGATATGAAAAATACGCTAGAACATGCGGAAAATAAAACTATAGAAACTTAGAAAGGCGCTAATGAAGATGAAACAGCAAAGAAACGCTAACGAGGGCGCGAAAACTAACAGAAAGGAATAAACACCTAAATTAACGCAAAAAAAAAGACTAAACACAAGGACGAAAAGAAGTATAAACTAATTTGCGTACGCAAAGGAAAAACAAATTACGCAAGAACGAATAATAGAAAAAATGTTACACTTGGATCTTACACAATCAGAACGGTGACCAAAAGAAAGCCTTTGCAAACCTGTTTCTATCAAAGAAACGAATTCCTGTGAAGTTTCAGATAGACTCTTCCCGTGAATGTATACAAGGATATAAGTGAAGACAATGATTTACAGGATCTCAACACTGCATTCAAGCCTGTTTTGTCTCTGTATGACGAAGAAACAAACATACAGACACTGGGAACTAAAAAAGTCTTCTATTTAATCCTGCTACCGAGGAAGAAGTGATTATTCAGTTTAGAATTGTTGACAGGGCCCTGAAACCCCTCATTGGTCTTGAAGATTGAGAAATTGTCAAACTCATTGAACTTTTACGAGAGAACATTGCCGTTCTAGGACCAGCTAAGCCAAAAGTGCTCCTCCACCTGCCACTGAGGTGTCAACACCTTCATCTGAATAACTACCCTAAGATATTTGATAACAGTGTGGGGAAGTTTGAGAGCACATTGCATTTTTACACAAAGGATGATGTTACACCACGCAAAACAGCTCTAAGAGAAATCCCGCTGTCTGTTAAGAACAACCTCATTGCTGAGGTGCAAGACCTCCAACAACAAGGTATACTGGAGAAAGTGACTGAGCCCACGGAATGAGTGAGTGCTCCCCCAGTTCTAAACAAGCGGTCTGCTAAGAATGAAATAGGGCTATGGATAGATAGCAGACCACTGAACACAGCACTCAAGCGCTCTCAGTACCCAATTCCAACTGTTGATCATCTGCTCAGAGAAATTAGCAACGCTACAGTATTTTCCTTAGCTGATACCAAGTCTGCTTTTTGGCACATGCTATTACATAAAGAAAGCTCTCTGTTGACGACGTCTAAAACCCCTCTTGGAAGGAAGAAATGGAACAGAATGCCTTTCGGCATTAGTGTAGCTCCTGAAGAATTTCAAAGAAGAATCGACAAGAACTTAGAAGGATTAGACGGTGTGAAAACAATCGCTGATGACATCCTGGTCTGGGGTGATGGTGAAACCATTGAAGAGGCAACAGTCAGTCATGACAAACGCCTGTTAACTTTGCTAGAGCGATACAAAAAGAAGAATATTAAACTTAACAAAGACAAGTTCCAACTGAGGAAGACTGAATTGCCCTAGATGTGTGTGATTCTGACCAACAAAGGTGTTCAACCCGACCCCAAGAAACAAGATTGGATTAAATCAATGCCTGCTCCATCAAACAAAGATGAAGTCAGGACGATTACTTAGCGTAGTAACTTACCTCTCACGATTTTCTGAGGACTTGTCAACCAAGTCAGAACCGCTACGAACATTGCTCAAAAAAGAAACCGCGTTCATCTGAGAAGCAAATGAACAGAAAGCTTTTGAAGAAATTAAGACCCTCATCTCAAACGCACCATTACTGAGTTACTTCAACCCGGTCGAGACAGTAGAAATACTAGTTGGCGCATCATCAAGTGCATTAGGAGTATGCCTCATGCAAGGTAATCAGCCTATACAGTATGCTTCGAGAGCATTAACTGAGACTGAAAAACGCTATAGTCAAATTGAGAACGAGATGCTTAGTATTGTCTATGGCCTCACTAGATTCCACACCTACACTTATGGTCGAAAAGTGACAATTTACAATGACCACAAACCACTGACTGCTGTTTTGAAGAAACCAACTGCAGAGAGTCCTGTGAGACTCCAGCGAATGCTCTGCAGAATCATGGGATATGACTTCGAGTTTAAGTTAGTGAAAGGCAAATATCTTCTCATTGCTGACGCCCTTAGCAGATCCCAAACAACAAGCCAGAACCGAAGCAAGTTTGAACATGAGATTGAAACAACTCGAGTGGCTCGTGAAGATCAAAGCGTAACAAATAGTTTGGCTGAAATTGCAGAGGTAACAGTCCATCACAGCGAATTACAATCAGTAGTTCACCACATCTCTAAAGGCTGGACAAACAACAAAAGAAACGTCCCCATTGAAATTCTACCCTGCTGGAGCATCAAGGACGAACTTTCGGTCAGTGGTGGAATTGTTTACAGGAACGATGGCATCGTAGTTCCGGTGGCCCTTAGGAAGACACTCACTGTAAAACTACATCAAGCGCATATGGGTACAGAATCAACCCTTAGACGCGCCAGAACATCCTTATGGTGGCTAAACATGAACAACCAACTAAAGCAGTTTATTGCCACATGAGAAGCCTGCAACGCTTTCCAAACCAAGAACTAAAAAGAAACACTAATGAGTCATAAAATTCCTAACAGTCCGTGGTCCAAAGTCGGTTCTGATATTTTCGAGTGACGGAGAAAGCACTATCTATTATTGGTTGACTATTACAGTGACTGGATTGAATTTGACCTGATGAGAAACCAAACTGCTGCTGAGATCATCAATTTGATGCAAAAACATTTTGCAAGATGGGGAATTCCCGAGGACATCGTCACAGACAATGGCACGAATTACGACTCCGTTGAAGTCTCACAGTTCTGTAAACGAACAACATCAAACACACCAAATCTTCACCTCATCACCGCCAGAGTAATGGAAACTCTGAATCTGGTGTGAAGATTGTAAAGACATTGTTGAGGAAGACAGAGAAAACTGCATTAAATCCGTATGAAGCGTTGCTTGGCCGGCATAACACACTCATCATTGGTATGACAACATCTTCGGCACAAAGATTCCTTAACCGTCGACAAGAACAGAAATACCCACCAGAGGAACTTTACTTACACCGAAAATTGCAGAGAAAGTGTTAGAAGAGGAAACCAGGAAAACCAAGAAATCTGAAGTTTATTATAACAAATCTGCCAGAGATCGGAATGAGCTAAAGCCTGGTGACATTGTTTGAGTAAAGCCAGAAACATTAGTCAAAGGACAAGAGTGGAAGAAAGGGACTGTAACACAGAGTCATGGATACAGATGATGAAAGACGTAAAAGTAGAAGGAAAAGTAATTAGGAGAAACCGTGTACACCTAAAGCCAGACAAGCAAGTCAAAATAACGGAACCATCCCCGAAGTCTGGAGAACAGAAGCCCAAGGACCAATTAGAACCTCCTACCCACCAGAGCATGCACGTGAAGCCACAAAACAGACCGAAAAAACTAAATGCACCAATATAGAACTGACTATTGTAAAACGAACACGTTCAGGACGCCTAGATAAAACACTGCAGAGATACAGTTATAACTGAACGTAAAATGGACATTTTATTGGGGGAAAGCTGTTAGAGGGTGATATCCCTGTGGTATCTCGACATGATACATGATGGGAAAGTGAGAAGAAAGACATGTTGTTCGGAATAAAGTTGTGTTGGTGAACATCTGCTGTGTTGTCTCTGATCCGACATCTTATAGCAATAATACATGAAAGCCTCTAAATACCTCTAAATACATTTATTCAGGAGATACCCTTGGAACCGAGGCAAGTGTAACCTGAGATAGGTGTCCCCTTTATAGAGGTTGGGCTGGGGTGTGTTAATAATTGACCAACACAGAAAATATTTTTTTTCTGCCTCCGAATCTGCTGCAGTCATTAATTCAAGCAGCTAGATAATAAATTCAAAATCACGATTAATTTATCTCTCTGTGCTGAATTCCTACAAGTGCAGTACATCGATATTAGTAACTTAGTTCAGGTTGCGAAAACTGGCTGTTAAAGTCATGTCCTCAGTCCTGAGATTCCCCCAAATGGAGATTAAACACGGGTGTCGGGACCAAGAACCCTGAATAGAGGTGATCCCTAAATAGAGGTAACAGAGACAAAGACTTTGTGAACATATTAACGGAACCCAATTTTGTATACCCCGAACAGAGGTGTCCCGAAGTAGAGGTTCCACTGTAGTTCCCTTAAATAGTAAAATGAAATCATACATACCTTTGAGCAGGAAAAAGAATAAATGAAGGGTACTGAGATACGTAAAATTCCCCTGGAAGATCATTTTCATCAGCATTTATCCTATAATGCGAAAAGAACAGCAACTTACTCTGAGAGAAAAAGTTAGTTTCTAAGAAAAACTGTTGCGCTGGATCTGAGGGGGCGTCAATCCGAAAAATTAGTATTTCACTCCTGAGGCGATAAAATACATTCTGATGAAAAAATATCACAAATGGAACCTAATGAGACCTAAATTTCGTGCACGGTCACAGTTACTGATGGCCAGATCGAAAACGCAGGCTTTGTTTCTTGGCAAGAGAACATAATAAGACCTCAGAGAATTAATCCCCATACAGTATCGATTTCTCCCTGGGTAAAGTTACCTCGCGGGTCGAGAATAAGAATGCTAAATGAATGCGAAATGAGAACAGTATTTTTAAAACGATTTTTCACTGAGGAGTCGAAATTCTTTCAACATAAAACGCGGAGTCAAAGCGAAAGAAAACAGTTTAGATTTATTTTGTGGGAAGGTGAAGAAATGCCTTTGAACTTGAAAGAATTCATGTGCCGTCGCTTTTATTTTAAGGGAAAAAAGACCAATCCTACCTGAACAGCTACGTGTCTCAAATCCGGCCACAAAGAAACGTGGGATAGATAGATGCGAATGTTTACAAATGTCAAAGTCGTCTTCGAGCTCATAGTCTGTAACAATGTGAGCTGTTCATTTTTTTTGCAGTGACAATAATGAATATCAGTAGTCTACTGTGTTGCAAGATATAACTTATTGATGTCTTCCCTTACCTTCCGTTTGCCTTCTCTTTAGTAACATTCATTCGTGCCTTCTTGCATATATACTTACAATGGAAACTCGATTTAACGAACTTCTATATAACAAAGTCCTCGGTATAACAAACGATTTTCTTCAGCCCGGCCCAAATTACAGCATGTAAAGATGTATTGAACAGAACCTCGATTTAGCGAAATCCTCGTTATAACCAACACAATCCACAAGCGCAAACGTAAAATCTACCTCGAAATAACGAATAAATGTCAGCATAAGATGAGATTTATGTGTACAATAGTTATAAGCAGTTTTGTTTGCCTGTTCTTGAGTTTCTAGCACCGTAGCTGTGTATAGCTCGGTAATGAAATGTAATCACAGAAACTTTTCAGATCCGGAAATGCTGGGTTTTGTAAATTAATTATTAACTATACCTCGATGTAACGAACATTTTGGTAGTTTTCACGAAAATTCGTTTAGTGGAGGTGTGCGATATAACGAACAAATTTCCCCAGCCCCTTGGCACTTCGTTAAATCGAGGTTCCACGGCATTTTTTAAAGTGCCTTCCGTGTCTCTTCCTGCGTACTAATTTGGTATAGGTAAACGTGTAGGAACATTAATTCCTCGCGGTGCGCCCTCGCGAAAGCGATTTACATGCTCTTCGCGCGCGAAGCGCGTTAACCGCGCGTGGTCTTAGCAGCGTGCGAACTTGGGTGACCATATATATTTGAATATATATATCGGTCATTTCCGGTTGATGTCCGTATCTAGTGTGACGTCACGCAGCACATATATTTCCGGTTCAAGGTGCGCTATCGTGTTTCATTCATGTTACACATGATTATATTTCGTCGTCTTTGAGAGACATTTTTACACTATCGGTGAATTATGAGCAAATTCCTTCAATGCAAATGCCCGCAAAAGCAAACAACAATTCTGGATTCAAAAAGTGGATGCAAATCCTTGCTACGGAGAACTCCTCTGGAGCAACAACAGAACGCCGAATTGAAATTTAGCGTGAGCAAAAATAGACGACAGCAAGAAACTTGCAGCAGAGAAACATCGCTTTGCCCAGCGAAGAAGCAGTCAAAAAGAGACAGACGAGAGACTAAACCTCCCACGCAGACGTTGTTAGGGGTTCGTCACGCGTTCCTGCCCCACCAAAGTCTGCTGAAACGAAGAACCACTTCCGTTCGTAGATACGGACCAATCAAAGGCCGTTTTCCAACTTTGGTTAAATACGTGTTTGTTATTTTTTTAAATATTACCCGGGACCAGATAGCGAACTAAAAAGGTTTAGGTGTCATGTTGATGTCCGAAACGTTTTGGTATTAGGGCGTGAAACCCTATCAAACAAAAGCCATGGTCTAATTTTTGCAGCAGACGATTGATGTGTTTGTGAATGTTTTAACTGGATGTGCAAGGTCGCCTATTGATCAAGCTTTATCGTTTGTTTTCGACTCAATTTCTGAAGCTACTGGCCATGCTGTTGTTGTGGTTTCGCCTATTGTATTGCAAGGGGTGTACGAGCAAGGAAATGTTGGAAGTAAAACCTGCAAGGGTTGACAGGTCGGATTATTTTTCTCAGACGGTATGGGATTTTATATATTGCGCTAACGAGAAAATCTTTTTGAGCCGGACTTTTTGCACGGTTATTTTTTCGTTGCTGTATCTTTTTTGTAGCGGGCAAATATCGGTTGGTACAGTTTGTACTCAGCGGTGGAAAACATATGTACAGGCCTCGCGCCTTGCAGATGAAAGATCGCTCATCAAGATTGCGGTTTTGATTAGCCCTTTAATGTCGACGGCAATGAATCAAAAATCGAACCCTGTCCTTACCCAAGATAGAAGCACAAAGAAATCGCTCTGAATTGATAACCTTCTTAAGAGTTGAATGAGAACATGGAATATGATAGATATTTTGGTTATCGCGAAAATTACTCTAGAGTTGAACTTCCCTTACTTCACAGCATGTGATTGGCTTCACGCGTCAGAAGTAGTCAGTGCTGATTGGTTTCTTTAAACAAAATCAAACAGCCAAAGAACGGAAGTGGCTTTTCGTTTCAGCAGACGTTAGTGGGGCAGGAACGCGTAACGAACCCTACGAACGTCTGCGTGGGAGGCTAGAAAGGCTACAGCAACTAGAGACATGTAAAGGCAGCTGTAATTGCGGTATTTTTTGCTGCCCTATGTATTCAATCATAGTTAGTACAGGAGACTGGTTAGAAAAGCCGGCAAACATTAAAGTTCAAAACAATTATGCTGTAGTTTACGTTGAAAGCTCCCTGGCCGTGCACAATCATTTGTTTTTTGTTTACAAATTGTGACTGAATAAATTAACGCCCAACTTTTCATGAGCCGAACCAAATACATTGAATTAAACACATGAAAAGTTCGGCGTCTGAATCAATTATCGCCTGGCCCGGCCGGGAATTTCGCTTTTGGAGCGACCTTGGAACGGCTTTGATTCAGACACCAAACTTTTCATGTACAGAACCTAATGCATAAATTATTATAAGGTATTTTTTAAGTAGTTTGACCGGCTGGAATTAAGATCGGCGTCTGAATCAATTCCGCTCGTCTAAATAATTTGGGTCGGCCTTAATTCGAATTTGGTTCGGCTCATGAAAAGTTCGACGTCTGAATCGGGCCTAAGTTCAAAATGATAGGAATGCTATTGAACGTTGTGCACGGTTATAGGTCCAAAAAAGCTAACAAAAACATATAACATATATATACCTTTCCAAACGGACTGAGATGGAAACAGCCGATCAGCCATTACACCAAGAGCAACAACGGGTTCAGAGTTTTCGGAGATGATAATTTCACTGTAAGCCGGTGAGGGTAAAAGGCGGAATGAGTTCGCGGAATGGCATGTGGCATGGCTTGCGGAATGACATAATTATGCAGAATGTAAAATATGGAAACTGGCGCAAAGAAATAAATTAAACTGAAAGGCATGCGCGCGTCATTGCCGCGCCTTTTTTGGCGCCAATTTGAGTGAGCAACTACTTCACTGGTTCACGCATTTAGGCATTTATCTAAAACATACCTGAGAATTGGCTAGGGTTCCTGAAGGCAGCCTCCAAACGAAAACATTAAAGTCCGGTAAATATAGTGAGGCGTGACCAAAATAACTTAGTCTCCTCGATTGTAAAGTAACAAGACGAAATATCTTCTTTTTCCGTTATCCTTAGCGAATTACCATCGTTAAAATCCTTATTTTTCGATAGAAGGGAGTACCAGAATACTTAATTGTGCGGTTGATTTTTTGCTTCTTCAAACTACTGTCGGCACCGAAAATGTTACTCCTTCGATCAAGAATTACGTTGCGTTACTTCCGTCTCTTCAAACGTACAATATGACACGTGTAGTCACGGAACAGACTGTCACGCAGACTCGCAGACAGGTAAAGTTCAGTGTTTCAAAATGGCTAAAATTAACCCAGTTTCACCTTTTTACCCCATTGTTTGATTGAAAAAAGCAATTTTGCAAAGGAAAAACCTACAAGACGTACGAAAAACGAGCCTTTAGGCTGTAAATATCTATTTATGTGCGTTTCGAAATTGGAAGTGTTTACACAATACAGACAATTACCGCCAGCCTACCATGAAAATTCCTGAACTTCGATGGTGTCTTACAGAGATTTCCTTCACTTACCCAAGCCAATTCCCAGGTATGTTTTAAATGAATGTCTAAATGTGTGATTTAAATAGCAAGAAGAGAATTTGGAGTTATACCACATGTTAAATATTGCGGTCGAAAATAAGTAACGAACTTAAATTTTGTCCCTCACTTTTAAAATTATTTCAGTACGACCAGCTTCCCTGTTGTCCAGAAAAAGACTTCTAGTGGAAGGAAAGAATTTTTCTGTTCGTGGAAAGTGTCCAAATTTCTCCATCCAGCTTCGTTTGCGAACGCGACGAATGTTGATGTTAGCGAGTTTCAGGTTAAAAATTAATGCAGTCTGAGACGGACTCCGACATCGAAAACCGATGTTCTATTTTTTCTCACCAATGAAAGGCTTTCGGCGGGAACAATCTACGTTAGGTTTCTTATAAACCTAAAAGCTATCTATGAACAAAAATGAAAGAACTTGATTTTTCAACTCTTGCCACGAAATTAACATTTTGGTCGATTTTTCTGTTTCGCACGTCTCAAGCTCGCAACTGAGGAAACAAAATACAAGATTCGATTCATCTCTGAATATTATCAATTATGTCACGATCACGTAACCCACAGTGTCATAAAGAAACACTTCTCACACGGTTTGGAATACAAATATAGGTAACAAGAAACTGTTAAGTTAATCGTACAAACATCTTTTGCTGAAAAAATTAATTAAAGTAGAAGGGAGCGTGACCTTCGAAAACATCTTTTCTTCAATAGACGAAGAACCTTTTCTGCTGTGCGGACAAGGCTGGTCGACAATGAGCCTTCGTGGTTTTTTGATTGTCATCGTATGTTAAGCCCGCAACATTAAAGCAGAGGCTGTGTTTGCAAATTGATTGGCGCCAAAAAAGGGCGCTCTTTTCAGTTTAATTTACTTCTTTGAAAACGATCTGCGTATATTAAATTCCGCATAATTATGCATTCCGCAAGCCATGCCACATGCCATTCCGCAAACTCATTCCGCCTTTTACCCTCACCGACTGTAAGCTACTATATATGAGCAGTCTAGAACATAATGTGTGATATATACATTGTAGGGAAGCGTTCTTTTTCTTTTTCGAACAAAGTCCTGCACAACAAAATTATTATTTACAATTTTCATAACATTTACGTCCCAAAAACCATCCCATGTAAGATATAATATGTAGCAGCCTTAGACATAAACACAGCTATGCCTTTTAAATGAAACGTAACAAAAATATATTATTGCTTGCCTTCCATTTCGATTCTATTATTTAAAAAGGACATCTGCATTTAAGATCTCCTCAGAATATTAGTGTATGATAAAGTTGCCATATTTCTTTCATTGTTTCCTAATATTAAAAACACGTTGGATTGGCAATTTCTTTCAAGAATTGGACATTAAACAGCAAGCTGATTCCTATAAAATCAATCCATTCTGCACCTCACGTTAGCATACATGGTGATGCCTGTGGTCGGAGGTTCGAGGCCATTATCAGGACAAATTGTTAATTCATTTGGTCAGAGAAAAAGTACATTTCAGTGAGTCTCGGAATTTCACAATTTATGGTTGTAGTAAGTTCACATATGTTGAGAACTGAGAAATCAATCACCTCGATCACCTTCAACATGACTTTTATGTGGACATTTCATACAAATTCACTCTTGAATGCAGAATGGGTAATACATATGTTTCATGCATGTACATGAATAAGTATGTACTTTGCGTACTTTTGGTACTTTTTACTGAGATTCATTGCTAATAAAGGCCTTCATACTCAATAATCATAAGTCATGATCACTTTCGTACTCCTCATGGCAGTAAACTACATCCTCAATGACATTAACATTTCTAGACGCTAATTCTATTTCAGTGATTATGTCTCCACCCTACTATAACAACCAATATTGTCGTACAAAAAGAAGTACAAAAGCTCTCATTGCTGTAGTACACTAACAATAACTTTATCGCCAATAACCAGTGTTTACTTATTGTTTTCATTACAGCATTACTCCCGGCATTTCATCCACTCATCCATTTGATACCCATGCAATATTGAAAACAACTACATCTGAATCTGAGGGCTATAAAATACACCGCTACTAACACCGTTCACAAATAATTATTACAATATTTTTTATAGGAGATGGCACAAGTTAACTGCTATTAAGCAAATGCCACCACATATTACTGTCACACTCATTTCCTTTTGTCAATAAACACACGTGAAGGTTGGTCAAATACGGTGAACACAAGAACAACACAACTTTGGCTTCACTGTCTTAATAATAGCAATCCCATTTAAATGCCATATCCTTTTAAAATCCTGGGCACTCGGTTTATGTTTACTCCAACCAAAACAGGAGATTGAGTATATCTCTGCTTTAAATATTACATCCGCTATTCAAACACGCCCTCCCCAGTTACGCAATATTCTCTATTTCTCTCCCTCCCTCACATCCCTAACATTTTACGGGCCTCCTTCCCCGAGCTCCACGAGGTTCTGCGATACACGTATTTCTACTTATCACAGTATTGTGCACCTCATTAGCATACAAGAAACGGGTTATACGAATTCACCCTAAGAAGTGGATAGCCGCTTATAAGTTAATAACTGCACTTTTCAATAGAAACAAAACCTTTGACTATGCTTGCCCGGTCTCTTCTATCTTTCGGTTAATACGGCTCGGACGGCTTTAAACGGTGCCCACGTACAGTAAAAACAGAGCACTAAAAATGGCGAATTTGGCGTGTTGCAAACAGCTTTGTTCCGCCAGCCAAACCAAATTGCTTCTTGAAAGACGTCCACCGATCAAAACATAAACTTGGACATTAACATATCCAAATAAGGATATTGAGGCACACAATTAAAAAGTGACAATGACATGATACCCACAGAAGGATATGACACAGATAATTAAAATAAAACTATGACATTATCCATCTAAAAATAACTAAAAAAACTGTAAAACCGGTTCAACCAACACTTGACCTTATCTTAATCAGATTTCTGTGTATTTTATTCATGAGATAAAAACAAAAGGTTATAACGTCATCGGCGTTAATTCATTGCCCCTCAAGTTCATGAGATTCCAGCGCAAAAAAGGGGTTAATTCGGTCCCTCCTACTGGTTAACGGAGCGTGAAACAAGACATCAAGATATAGTCATTTCATCGAGAGAGAAGACGGTTTTGTAATAGCCAATCAAGATTGAAATAGAGATCTTTCATTTAACCTCTGTGTCTGAGTTTTGTTTACATCCCATGTTTGGTCAGGATAATTTTAAGATTTTTCAGTTACACTCTGTAGAGATAGCGCGTTAAAAGAATACCCGTTTTTATCTTGAACACGTAATAGATTTTACATGAGCCAATCAGGGTTAGAAGAGACCGGGCAAGCCTAAGCAAAGCGTTCGTTTCTATTACAGTTATTAACTTATAAACGGCTATCCACTTATTAACTGTAGATATGGAGGAACGCGATTTTACCTAGACATTGATTAGGCACTAAATTAACATTTTAAAAGAAACGACTAACCACTTACGCAGTTTACCTATACCAAATTAGTATGCAGAAGACATACGGAAGGCAATTAATTAATATGCAAGGAGGAACCTATGAATGTTGCAACATAGTAGACTAATAATATCGGCCTTCTTTTGGTTTCATCGTCATCCCAGAAGATCTATTCTGAGCGGTAAGCTGGCTCCAACCTCGCAGTCAAAGAATAACAAAGGTGCTCATCTCACTCTCGGGAGATTATGTGAATATTTTGGAATGTGCTAAAAGAGAAAATCTAGACCTCGATGGCTTAACAAATACTGTTCAAAAGATATTGTAAAAGGATTAAGATGGTAATAGGGCTTCTATGGAAAATTAACTCTGAGGCATTTATGTTCTCTTGCTCTAACAAATGAATACACTTGAACATGGTAATGTCTTTGGGAAGATTACAAACACGGGTGGCACAAAACAATTTATGACGCGAATGTGATGTTTGTCTTATTTCCTGGAACCATAACCATTTTGCTCTTAAACTGTAATGTTTATTGCTACTTCTTGGACTAATTCTCGAACGCAAACTGAACGGCCATTTAGACGGTGATTAGCAAGCAGGTAGGAACAAATACAAATATTCCCGATGCTACAATTTCAAGTGAAGTTTGGAGTAGGTGGCCGGTATCCTAAAAATCCTCAAACGCGCCAATATATTTTGAGTAAACAGCTTAACGGCTTGGAAACTAAAATTTCGAGGACGTTTTTGGACTTTTTACATTTAGGGCATGAATTTTTCGTCATTTCAGGCCACGGAACCTAAAAATGAGCCTAGCTAGCTGTAAAAAGGGGCAATACGGAGGCAATACGTCCTAGCCGGCATGATCACATGCTGTTTACGGAAAATTCCCTCATCCATGTCAGGAAATTCTGTATGGGCATGACTAAGCAATTGAGGACATTTCTGCTACGTTTTCAATGTTGGTTAGCATGCAAGGATTTTTCCCATGCCTATCGTCAATGATTTGCTCACTGGTAATAGAGGGGGTGGCCCCAGAGTGGTTTTGCATTGAAATTGGCATGCAACAGAATTTCGCATGCCCTGTAAGCACAATTTGAGGTTCCGTGACCTTCTCACCCAGGCCGCGAGAAGCCTAGGTTCCAGTAATAAGTAATTCATACCCAGCAAAATCTCCGGCATGCCGGGCATGCCACATTCTCTGACATGCCCGGCATGACAAATTCTCTAGCATGCCGGACGTGCCATAATCTGGGTCATGCCGGGCATGCCAAAATCGGTCTCTGGCATGCTCTCAACGCACAGGTTATAATTCCTTGAATCTACAGATATTTTAAACCTGGCTAAAAAAAAAAAAAAACTAAACAGATCACCGTGCTTATCTTTTGATGTACGGTTACACGATGACGTCATTGCTATTCCATTTGGTTGTCCCAGCGAAGTTTAAATAACAAAAGCTCTAATTTTTACAAGAAAGTAAAACCCTGAGGGATTCTGCCGTAGTAATAAAACAGCGTCATCGTGGAGATGACCTGTTGGGGGATTGTAAAAACTCCTCACCCCTTTTAATGAGTCTTTAATAGGATTCCCATTTCACATTGCGAATAAAATGGAATTGACTGAAATCAGTAAAAAGAGAGACAGACACTATTTTCATTGTATAATAAAATGCATCTATGTTCCATGAAAGCTTTTAAAAATACAAGGTTATAGAATATCTTTCAAAGTTCATTACAAACTGAGCTAAGCCCCAAAATCATTGTTCATTATTCAGTAAATTATGATGTTTGACAATGCAATGTGCTTGAATATAACGTTGCAATTACAAATCTCTCTAAAGCAAATTTCCCTACGTTAGAAAAGCTGTTTTTATCTTGTTTCACATTTTGATAAGGAGTCTGAGTTCCTCTTTCTTGTTTTGTAGGCTTGCCTGGGATTAATGTTTTTGTGTCATTACCAGTGTCTGTTTTCTCTGTTTTTAACTCAAAGTAAGTCAGTAATAACTGACAGTATCAAAGAATTGCTCTCTAGAAAAGTAATTGTGTATCTCTTCGTCATGTCTGGAAGTTACCTGTAACAAAAAAGAAATGGAATGTTAACACATGCAAAAGGGCAATATGAGAAAAAAGAAAAAGAACATGTAGAGCTCAGCTTCCTCTTAACATATTTTCATACTGGCTTGTTGAGTCTGTTAAAGGTCGCAACTAATTGTCTGAGGCTAATTTCACAAGAGTGTGCAATTGAGATAAATGCATGGTAAATAAAGTGAAAGAAACGTGGTTTCACATTAGCCAATTTACATTGCGTTGTTCGATGATGTTTACACGCTCTTCTACTGCGAAATAAACCTTTGCATTTGGATTTGCAAGTCAAGATTATACCGAGTTTGACTGGCTTAATTGAACAACAGTTTCATTTTTAAGCAGGTAAGGTGTAGACCCATATAAAGCCGAAATATGTAAAGGAAACTCAGCGAAAACTTTTTCGCATCTTTTTGTGGCGATATTCTCTCACGGCCCGTCAACTGATTAGGGGATGCGAAGAAAAAATAAATTAGGACCAAAGGTTAAAGCCTGTCCGGTTACACCATTTGGTATGTTACCTAGAGTTCTAATAAATAGGTCATAAAATAGGATTTAACGACAGCGAATTTGTTTCTCAATCGGTGTATAAAAAAGTGAAGCTATCAAATGAGAAGTTTATAGAGTATCAAAATTATTAAAGTAAAAGCTCATATAATTAGGAAAATTCCTATACGAAAACAATGCTAGTGACATTAAATTGATCAGATAAAATTCTGAGAAAATATGTCGAATAAAAGCCTCATTGTTTGCTTTTGTTTTTGCGTAAGGGTAAATTTTTCGGCCCACAAAGCAAAGTTGAAAAAGCGACTAAATCTTAGTTTTTTACATTGAACATGTTTATTAGCTTAGTTTTCGTCCGTTTTAAAAGCTTTACAACCCAGTCATAATTTTCGGGTTAAAATAGTACAAAATCATTTCAAAAACCATGTTCATTTAAAGTAGAGCCAGCAAACGTGAACATTTTGTAATTCAAAAGTCGGACCCAGCCAGGTTGTTTAAGCTTAGAATTATTTCCATTTTAGCGTCCTATAAATTTACCAGAATCGCCTCTCAGATGCTTACTGTAGCAAAGCATTTTGTAGTACACTCGTAGACAAGCAATGTAAGCCTTAAGTCTTTGCTTGGATGAGATGTCCAAAAGAAAAATTAGTTTTGTGGACCTAAACGCACATTCACAGACTGCTTATATTGAGTTGTTTACAACTTTGCATTGACACCTGCAGCATGTTCATTTTTATAAAGCGAAATCCAAATCTGATTTTGGCATTTGATTTACGGATATTTTATTTTGTCTCCAAAAGTGATTGTAATATCCGTTTGATTGTCTTTCGAACAACAGTCAAACTATGCTGCAAAAATAAGTAACTTTACCAGTACAGTGAAAAAATATGACCGTAGGTGCCAAAAATAATTATACTCGAGCTATAAAATTAGATCTGACTTTTTTTAGCTTTGGTTTCTTTATTTTTGAGGTTTTCTCTAGTCTTCTTAGCAGCAGAAGAAGATTACAAGACATACAATCAGAAACAATCCGAAGTGAACGAGTTGACAACCACTTATGACACTTATGCCGGAGTTCTTAGGCATGCTCAACAGTAAGATAAAATGAATGCCAAAAGACTAATTCACGGGATTTGGTCGATATTCAGGCTTTTTCTTTACCAAATTAATACTAAATTTGTACTTACAGTCTCTCGCAGAATCCATTTCTTGTCCAGCTTTCACCAACATCTCAACCATGCACCGCAGAAAAAAAAGACAAACAAATGCGAAGAGACATGACGACATCGTGACGCCACAACTGCCACGCTACAACAAACTAGATTCATCGTCATCCGAAAACACTTCTGCGGAAATTCGGCCGATTTCGTGCGTGCTCGGGGTATCTCCGGATGACGCAGATGACGTTGCTCAAAGGACTATCGTCAGCAAGGACTAAAACGGTTTGCGAGATTCGCATAGCCGACAAGAAGCGCACTGAAAAACTAAGCAAAATCTCTCTGAGAAGGCAGTCCAAATTCACCAGATCAGAACGTCTTTGCAGTATTTACGTCGTACTCTCGTACTCACTTGAACGACCTGGTAAGCTTAATTTTCACCAGTCTTTTATGCTGTTGACCAGGAAACATTCCGACGCGATAAAACTTAAGCATGGATAAGTTTATACTGAGAAGATTTGTTATCTTATTGTTTAAGACGCTTTTCCGCGATCAAATTTAAATATGGACCCAGAAATGTCAGTATCGGTTTGAAATAAAAGGATTAATCTTTGATTGCAAGTTAAGTATTCTATTTTATGCATGAATAATGTTGTTTTGTTGTGCTTTTTATTTATAAATCCAGGCTTCTGTCTTCGGTTTTGCCAGTCGATCCCGTGACACACATTGTGACAAACATGACTTTTTTTGTTATAATCTGCATTTATTGCCAGGCATGAAACCTGTAACTTCAAGCTCCCTAAGATATATTTGGTGATTATATGTGATTCTCAGGATATGATGCTGAAGCGAACATCAAAATCAGTCTCGCTGGGCATGCCAATTTCTTGCCCGGCATGCCGGGCATGCCAAACCAAATGGCTTCACCATCGGCATGCCCGGCATGCCAAACCAGAGGAGCAAAAACTGGGAATGAATTATCAACCCGGCGAGAGATCTGGGACCTAAGTTTAGCTGCGTCAAGGTCAATTTTGGGCTGCGAGGTCATGAACCCTTTTTTTCCATGCCTATGAGATGTTATTTCTAAGTACCAATGTTCCCTTGAATTTTGACATGCCTAAATATATAAAATTTTCCCTCTCTCATTAATCCTAAGACTGGATGCGATTTTTGCGCTCGCTAGGCATGTTCAACTGAAAATCATGCCCATACCCTTATTCAAAACAAAATGCTATCAAATTTTAGTTTCCAAGCCGTTCAGCTTCAAGAAGCAGGTCTCTTTGGTAAAGTTAGTGGAATTAACGTCACGCAAAAAGCAAGTAGGTTAGAAGTTACATTCGATAAAGTTCCGCTCACCTTGCAATAATAACATCATTGCAGTCTTGAAAGAATTTCACAACAGTAAGTAGAATGGGCTCAAGAGATTTACAGTAGGCACACCACGGAGCATAATACAGCAACAAAACATCCTGTTAGGAAAACAAATTAAAATCCATGCTACACTTAAATCTTACAGCGACATTTGCTGTTAAAATCTATCACACAAATACGTGGGTAAAGGTTCCCTTTGTGAAGGAAAAAAAAGTTGTTACCAGGTTTTTCAAGCGGGTAAGACTCTTTACTATGGAATTACCCTAGCGGTAAAGACAACGTTAAAAGGAAAAAAAAAGAAATTGAAATAACATAATAAGGGTGGCACTGACTGAAGTCTTTATTATCCATTTACTGGCATGGCATCAGTTTCAGAGTGAAGAGAATCTGCGACGTTTTTCGCCACAGGCCTTGAAAAAATACTTTTGAGTTTAACATCCTTAAGCAAAGGGCAATGGGTAACAAAACTGACGTCCGAGCAAGCTGTTAATGAGCAACTTAAAACGTGTAACCAAAAAAGTAAATAAGGCTTCATTCCCCTTTTCATTTCACATGAATGGGCAAATGACGATTATAAGAACTGGGATATACATGAATCAAAACCAACTTCTTACGTACTTTTGTGTCATCTAGCACTATATCTCTAAAATTTGACGTCACAACCTCTTTAACACAAGCTTTGCCACTCCGCAGTGGTGCACACCTTGGGGAGCTTCCACCACCTGATATGAGGCGTCTTGTCAGATTGCCATTCATATAGGCCATAACGAAATCAACTGGAATTCGAAAGGGAATGTCTGTTAGTCCATAAACGATTTATCAGTGAACCCCACGAGAGACGTTTTCGTATTTTAAAAGCAAAGCGTAAACGCTCAGCGGTACTGAATTTGTTGGCACCGTTACTTGACGTATTTCCAAGTGCCACGGAGTATCACACATGGCAATATCCTCCACACATTGAAATGGATGGCTGTGTTCGTTCTAAGGTACTGAGATTTATTATCATCATTATTGTTGACATTGTTGTCGTTTAAAAAGAAATAAAGCGTAAAATATCTTTGCTCGGGATACATCATACTCACTAATTGAGGAGTTACTGATTCTTACATCCTCGTCCAAGACAAAATGGGCATCATTCTAAAAAACATGATTAAGTGAGGATGTCGCAACAAGAACAACCAAAATAATAACAAGGAAACTGTTCAAGTGCAAATAACAATGATCAAATAATTACTAATCGTATAATAATAATAAAATAAACACGATAAAGATAAATATAAAGTTAACCTACAATACTAACAGAAAGGTTCTGGAATGCGGTCTTTCTCTCACGGTTTTGTACAGTAACAGATGATTTTGCAACTAACAGATAATTCACACACATAAACATCGCCATACCAAGCTTTCTCCTGAGCGCCCCCTCGCCCCTCGAATAAAGTTGACGTCCATAATCTGTGCAAGGAAGTAGCGTGGTTGAGCGGTTGGGATTCTTAAGTTTGTTATGTTTTATTTTGAATTGTTTGTTTCATTATTCCTGCAAAGCCCCATAAGGGAGACAATAGTTAAGAATTTAACACGAAATACAATGTTTTATGTATGAAAGATAAGTGTCCCAAACGTATTGACTAGGTTTGTAGATAAAAATGCTACAAACGTAAAGGGCCTATCAGCAAGCTTTGGATGACAAAGTAAAAGTTTATCATTCATTATAACGGATATGGAGGCTTAAGAGAAAAAAAGGGATGATGGAGCTAAATTATGAAGAATGTTTAAAGTAGATTCTTAATTAACCAATAAGCACGAAAGGTCTTGCACAAGCATTCTGCACCCGTTGTAGTTGGTCAATGAGCAGTTAAATAAATTTGCTGTTGCAGTAGTCCAGTCAACCTGAAGGAAGATATAGAGGGCGGTCTCAGTGGATTTTAAACCTGTGCTCCACGAAAAATTGAAGGGTGCTCATCCAGGGTGCCCAGCATATGACTATTATGAAGGAAGATTTCCAAGTTACCTAAGAGCAAAAGTAAGGCGCCAGAGGCATGCCAGGTGCTGCTAGAAAATAGTCCTAATTAATTGTGTCCCCATTTGGTCTTCTATTTAAAAGATGAATTTGGATTTCTAAACTGCATGAACAAAGAAGAGATAGGCACACTAAAACAGGCTCTTGCTACAACAAGCTTACATTCTAACCATCAATTTCAAAGTAAGGGCGGCTCCTTCATGTAGATTGATGCCTTTTCTTCAAACTGATATAACAATGGCGAAAAATGTACTCAGACACTGTGTCTTCGACGAAATACACATTCTCAATAGCAAAGTTTACGTCCAAGGTCGTATTTTTCCTGGATGCTTTTGACCAACAATCGCTCGAAGTATTTTCCAATCTCTCAAAACGAAGAAAGGTCAGGACTTTTGGGTGTTAGACTTGAGAGTCCTTTTCAGTTCACTAAATCCGGCGTAATATACGAAGTGCTACTACCATCATTTGTCCTTAGCTAATTCTCTCCATGTAGGTGTTATTTGCTTTTTTTTTTGCTGCTGTTTGTCCGTTAAGTGTTTTGATTTGCTTGCTCTTTATCCAAACTTATACAGTATTTCAACATGATTTCGCCACTCATTTATTCTCACGCAGACTATGTAAAACAAAACGACAAAAACCAAGAAACAATAACAAGCAGATTTTTCCCTGAACAGAAAACAAAGAAGTCTTTTGTTTTACGTCATCTGTCTCCAGTACACAAAGTTTTGACCGGAATTTGGAAGCCATTATCTGGACAAATTGTCAGTTCATCAATTCACTTCAATGTGGTCAGGGAAAGTGTACATGAATGTACATTTGACCGTCAGCCTGGGAATTTCCAAAACTATGCCTCTGGCAACCATGTCTCAACAAGCGCATACATGTTGAAAATTGAGAAACTGATCACCTTCAACATGACTTGTATATGGACACTTCATACAAATTCACTCTTGCATGGGTATTTGTTTCTCATGCATGTATACGAAGAACCATGAACACTTTCATAAATGATTTCATATGTTTACAGGGATTCAGGGCTAATGAAAGTACCGCATATTCAATAATCATGAGTCAAGATCACTTTCATAATTCTCCTCAACATTACTTCATGTAATTTCTATTTTAGTGATTATGTTTGCACCTTACTGTTACAAACAATTAGCTGTCAAGTGTGATTATGTACTATAACAAGTGCAAACACTATCATCGCTTTAGTTTAGTTCACTTAACAATAAATACTTGTTATTTTCACAGCAGCATTATCTCCTACCATTTCATCCACTCACTGCCACTATTAAACAAATGCAACTGCATATTCGCCTGCAGTTATTCACTATCACAGCTATTTCCTATTGACTATGCTAAGACATGAAGGAGGATCAAATGGGGTGAACAGGGGACAGGAACTACCCAACATAGACTACCCTTCCACAACACCAACGCCAACACCAACGCCAACACCAACACCAACCCATTTAAATCCCAGAAAATCCTTTTTATGGCCAGAACACTGGGTTCACATTTAATCCAAACAGAAGGAGATTAACTACATCTCACCTTCCAATATTACAGCCAGTGTCGAAACGCGCCCTCCCTAGCTACACAATTTACTTCAATTCTCTCCTACCTTTCCATCCCTGATATTTTATGGGCCTTCTTCCCGAACCTCGCGAGGTTCTGCGATGCACGTATTTCTTATAGTCTTATCAATTTGAGCTTCCTCGCCAGAAAAAAATCTTTCTAATTCTTTTACTTGTGTAATTTACGTCCCCTTTAACTTTCAACTATTATTGACTTTTTTTTTCTGACAAATAAATAAACAAACTGAAACTGAAACTTAGCACGTGACTTCATCCACTGAATAGCAAATAAGTTCAAAAAGTTAGCCGATACAGGGCAATAGATTGTTTACACTCACGTGCCCAACATCTATGAACGCAACCGATTACCGGAACAACAGGAAGCTTCCACATATCATACCCCAAAACTCCCGCGTGAAATTTTTATAATAAACATAAATATTTGAAAACTGGCCTCTAAAATCCAGTGAGATCAAACACATTTTTTTGAATGGTTTTAAATCAATCACGTCTCCCAAGTAAGACTACCTTTAAATCAGCAATCACCAAGGCTGTCCTGTCCTCCTGATCGTATGACCTACGGACACCTAGATTCTCTGCGACTCTCCAATATTCAGTAGAATCCACGATAAAAAATCTGACTGATCTGTTGCTGTAACACCCTGCTCCCGTAAAATTTGTGACACGCTTTGAAGTTTGAGATAAGTCTGGGATGACTTTTTTAGTTGTGAGTTCTCTGCCTTTCCGTGTATTCAACGATTTTTGTAAAGCACTTGCCGTGTATGACATGTAAGAACTAAAACCAAACAAATCAGCTAAGTTACTTTCCCTTTGCTTCAGTAATTGTCTATTGATGTCTTGGAATTCCTTGACGGAGGAATATCGCTGGGCTGACTCCTCTGACCTCCACGTACAACAAATGCTCGTTAAGACCAATGAAAAGTATCCAGTAGGTCTTAATGAACTGCAGCAATTTTTGAGGGAGAGCAATGGCACCATCTTATAACTGTTGAGAAAGGTAACTAATGGATGCCCCATGTTTAGGTGACATTTTAAAAGCTGACAACTAAAGCACAAATCGCAGGTATTTGGCCGGCTTCCTGTGTTTAATTTCTTTGGAACTAGTAATGTCTTGCAAATGGTATTGTTTAGTACCAAACCGTTTTGTGAAATTAAGACGTCTCTTTGCTGGTTTATAGAATAAAGTAGTGTAAATTGGGAGGCGATTCCATTGACGTTGACTTGCTCTAGTACTTCCGATGAATTTCCCTCTTCTTTTCCCTCTGCAGTCGGAACAGCATTTACTCCTTTTGATGTTCCATTATGTGGACATTTGTAATATTGAGATGCTGCGTAAATATACTGAAATGAAAACAAAACAAAACAAAAAAAATATGACTAAGCAAAAGGGGAATTACCAGACATATAACGTGAATTCTAAGTAAGAACTACGCTTACGCTTAATGGATAGAGAGCAGAGTCCTTTTAAAGGGCTGCGTCTCGGCTAACTAGTTCCTTTTGTTTAAATATTGTCAATTACACGTCTTTACTCTCAACGCAACTTAGCATAAGCAAAGAAATTAATTGAAATGACAAAATCACTGCTTTATGCCAAGCAAATTCGCCCCCAAGCATTATGTAAAAAGTTGAAGACAAAAAAAAAATGAACTTTGAAAAACTGTTAGGCCAACAAGTTTTCAAAAGCCTTAAAAGCAATCTTCTTTAAGTTTGTCCAACCGTGCCTACTTCGGTATTAGCGGTGTCATTTATACCTTCATTTCCTGTTTTGAGCTGTTATTTTTCTTTTTCACTGGTGGCGGTTTCCACTGTTTGAATCTTGATAGATTTCGCGGTGGCAGAGCTCCTTTAAGTCGGTCGCTTTATTCAGTGCAAAAGGAAGAGCTCCCTCACCCCACTTCATCACAGCCCACTAGCTTAAACATTCTCCACTAAAATTCCTTTTCGTGTCATAGGTAACAATAAGCGAGACGATCTGAAGCTGTCTGCGTCGGATGAATTAAGGTGATCCTAAACACACTTAGCAAAACTTAGCATGAAACTGCATTTCCAGACCTTATAATTTTCTTTAGATATTAGCCAATTATGTTTATTTTCTGTCTATATGACCCTTAAAACTTATTTTCAAAAGATTTCCAAAACGCTCTCATAGAATCATAATTGAGGCAACTAAGGGAGGTACAAGCTCCCTTGAGCGATTTCTAAAAAAAACTTCTGGTACCGAGAAATCCAAGGCCAGTAAAAAAAAATCTCGCGTCATTTTTTTTGCCATGGCAACTCCAATGTCAATAAAACATGGATCACGACAAATTTTCATCTTAGCATGGTACAGCTATGGTAACCTTTTTCCGATACCTTTTTAATGCCGATGTAGTAAACGCTCAAAGAGTGGGGAAGTATATTCCCTAAAAAATCCAGTCGAGCCAAAATTACAATACGCTAGTGAACTTTGGTCCCCTTACACTTGTAAAGACAAACGTTTGCAAGAAAATGTCCGTGGCAGAGATTCGAAGTTTTTTGAATTTTCCGAAAGAAATGTCTTACAAGGATCGGTTACTCAAACTTAACCCTTTGACCCTTGTCCGTGGGTCTTCGGTCTGAATCAGCTATTCGACAAAGTGAGAGCCGAATTACTGCGGGATATCTCGAGATCACTTCGAGTTCTTTGATTTATTCTTTAATTTATTCGTGGAAGAAAGAATTATTATTTTGGCTTGCCCAGGGTTTGAACTGGCTTGTGACCCGTCAGATTAGACGAGACCCTAAGTTGAGGGATTAACCCACTGCGCCACTCCTACCCAAGTAATTTGAGAAGTGAAAAATAGCTATAAGTTATGCACTAGGTACGGGATAAGATTGGCCACGCAAGTTGGTGACTTTTCGGCTTGTTTTGGGTAGTTGACGTAGTGACACCGGAATCTGTTCGAAATATCTCGAGATCACTTCGAGGATTTTTTTTTTTTAATTTGGGCGAACGGCAAGTTAATGATTTGCCACGGGTATATTTGCAGAACGCCAAATAGTCGGCGTGCGAGGATTAGTTTTTAGGTGTTAGTATCCGGAAAATATCCTTTCTTACTATTCCTCCGCATTCACAATTAATCGCACAACCATGACGCAGAAGTGTACGCTCCCATAGCGTCTTGTTTTATTACAGATCGATAGCTACTTGGAACAAGCTACCTGTAGACATCAAAAGTACGAGTCAGTGCTTCCTAGTTTTCAGAAAAGGATTTTAGATACTTACACTCGCAATACTCTATCTTATGTCCTCCCAGCGAGTGGGGTGTGGGATGTTACTTATGTGTCTTTTAATGAGGAGAGCGGCAAAGGGCGGTTAAGGTTGGGGGGAAGGATTCTGTTATTTGTGGCATTCCATTTGGTTCTTGGGGAAAGCTACCAACCGGAACATTGTCCTGTCTCCTGCTCCAGTGGCAACATTTATTTATTTTAGTTTATTTTACTTTCCTTCGTTTTCTTCCTCTAACGTATTTTATAGTTTTATGTATACATTAACTGATAACATGCAATCAATTCAATAAAGTAAAGTATAGCCACCTTTATTTTAGGGATCGCAGAAATGCCATGTTTGTTTGACACGATTTTGCTGCACGAATGATGCCAAGGAAATGTCAAAGCTGACACGCAGACTGGTTACCGATCATGTTCTAGATCTTTTTTTAAATCAGGGACTGCTACATTGGTTTACGTTGGACAACAAAATTTAGTGCATTATACATGGCAAAATTGTCTCCACAGAGAAAGTTAATAACCAACACTGAACAAGACGCTATTGGAGTGTACACTTAAACGTCGCTGTACCACTCGTATGTGAGGATTTTTTTGTGTCAGGCACATGAGTGCCACAATGTAGGTATTGTTAAGGGTTGGTTGAAATGGGAGAAAAAAGGAGACGTGGGGTCGTAGTGCACGTTGCTTAGTATGTAAATACCTCGAATTTTTCCTGTGCGTGTTTGTGAGTCCCGTACTCATTCATCCCTTCTCCATTCAATGATCGGGTGGATTTAATTGCAACATACCCGTATAGGTGTCGCATTTGCCCGCAAGACTTTTTTTATGACAGCTATATGTGTATGTTGCAAATGAATCCATCTGTCATTTAAAGCCGTTCGTCGAACCCCAGTCCACCCTCGTGGTGATTTTTTATCGACGAAAGGTCAGCAAAAAGTACGTTTTTGGTGCTTTATGTATTATTCCATAATAAGTGTGCAGCTTTTAACCCCAAGCTTTCGGTCATAGGCACTTAATGAATGATTCCAAGTATAATGCATGAGTGCGTTGCATGACGGTAAATGACAGACAAATCACAGACACTTGACTAACCTGCATTCTCGTAAATTACGGTAACTTATGACATTTCTAAACAAATTAGACAGCGCGCGCGTATAGGTAAAATCTTTGCTCGTTGACAATAAGAGATGATATTATAGCTAATTTTCACACGACAAACCACGTTAGGTTGCCATGGCGCAATCGGCTAATCCGTCAACTTAGCATCTAATCTCACGGGTCACGGGTGAGTCGGCTCCGACCCCGGGAAAGCAGAACTAAAATTATTATTTATTCCTCCAGTAAATTAGAATATTTATTGTAACTGAAAGAAATGGAAGTGATTTCGAGATATCTCGGTGGAGCGCGAAGTAAAGGACCCGCGACGCTCACGAATGTTTAAAAGTTGCTTCCAAATTTCCTGCCGTTGCTTTCAAATGTTTCGAGGTGAGAACGGATTTAGTTCGAGATATCTAAAAGTCACGTGAATTGTCTACTTTAATCCTTCGGAAATCGTAAGTAATCTTTTATTTTCACTTGTTTAGAATACGCTAAGTAGAAGTGCAAGGCACTGATCAAAAGCTGATCTATCTAAAAGTAAATTCGTTTCTGTGGATAACTGCACCCGTATTCAAATTTGTTCTACTCTTCTGTTGAAGATCAAAACAGATCATTTGCACTGTGTTAATCAGTTGCGCAGGTTATAAAAACATCCTTCCCTCCTAGTAACACTTTCTTGATAGCTTAGCTTTACACTAAGACTAGGTAATGTTAACTAATTGTAGGCCATTCAATCCGGGGATGGTGAACCTACAGCCAAAAACCCTCGCAAAGAACATCGGTGCGACACCTGTGTACAGATCTTCTCTAGTCCCAATCATCTAAAAACTCATGTACGAACCCATACTGGGGAGAACCCGTACGAGTGCAACTGCGGTGACAAGAAGTTTTCAGACAAATCTGCTATCATTCATCTTAAGGCACACAAGAAATGTATCGCAGAGCGCACGTTCTCTCGCAATACGTGTGGAGAATCCTTTCAGAGCCGCGCCTGTTTTAACGCCTCACATCAACAACAACCATCAAAAAACCGTAAACGCAGCGCTACGACCTCGAATGACACACTAGGTGCGAAAAGAGCCAGGAAGTCTGCTGATCCTGGTACTCGACCAGCTGCCTCTCAAGCATCCGCTGCAACTGCAGGTTCCAGTTGGGAAGCGGATCCAGTTCACATTTCGACCAACCCTGTTTCAAGCTCTGACGAAGATGTTGCTCAGACGTACTGGCAACACTGGTCACAAATCCCCACCCGTTTCAGTCGCCAGAACAGACTGCAAGATTGGTATAATTTTCGCCTCTCAACCATCAACCCAGCCAACCTCCGCGAACAACTGAGCCGGATATTCGCCGATCAGCCTACCGTGTTTAAAGTCAACTTCTCTTTTGGTTTTATTCCGTGAAACACAGAAACTGGCGATTTGCAGCACCATCACCCCTCTGCCAACAACAATTTCGTTTTGGAACAACCGTTTCTGATCTCCAGTCACAAAGATTTGGAGCCCTTGTATCGATTTCTTAGAGTGAGTTCGACAACAGAGACCAAATTCAAAATGGGTGATGGATCTCGTTTACAATTGTTACTTGGTTTGTGTGGAAGATCAGGGATCATCCAATTGGCCACGAGGCATTTCTTCCCACATACATAGGTGAGAATCATCGAAACCGTAATACTGGCAAGCCTTATGATGACAATTTCTGTTTCTTTCGCTGTCTGGCTTTGCATAATGGCTGCCATACTAAGAACCTAGAGAGAGACACAGTAAAACCACCAGCAGTGAAGAGGACGAAATGAAAAATTAAACGAAGTGAACATACAACTATACAGCCTCGCACCTACTCAGAGCCACGGGGACGACAACGAAGAAAATATACCCGAGATTGCCGCCACACTCCTCTGTCGCCCACACCACCACTACACCAGCTCGCTCTACTTGAACCTCTACAAGAACCATTTATCGTATATCAAAGATCTCGCCGGGCACTCTAAATCCTTTTGTTGTTCTCGTTGTGGTAAATACTGGAAACGTGAGTCAAATTTAAGACAACACGAGAAGGGGCTAGACCTGTGACGGCAAAGTGTAGCTCAAGTATCCAAGGGGGCGTACCATGTCCCAAAGACTGTGTTTGCAGAATTAAAGGAAGAATGTATTATCGTCCCGGGAACGAGCACGCCATTTTCCCTACAGAGCCACATTTGATTTTGAGCGCTACTTCGATAAAGAAAAAGTGCCAGAACTGAAAAACACAGACAAATTAACCTGGGAATCTAGCCATGTTGCGCTTAGTGTTAATGTCTGCCGTAACGTGCCTGGCTACCAAGCGCCTAAATGTTTTGTGACTGATGGCGATCCAAAAGCATTAATTACAGAATTTATTCAGTACTTAATTTCTATCAGCACAAAAAGTTCATCTCTGCTGCGTCAACAATACACAGAAGTATCTGAAGCTCTCAAAACCGCAAGAGCTCTGAATAACAGTGAATCTCACCAATTGGCGCAAATTCTCGTAGATATTCAAGAAGGTCAGCAAACTGAAAGTGAAGAAGGAGAATTCGAAGATGATACTTGAGACATTGATTTAATGGCGAGTGATAATGAGGACGATGAAGAGGAGATTGAATCGAAGAACGAACAAGACGGCGCGTTTCTCGACGATGAAATTTAAGAACAGGAAGATGTCTCCTTTTATAGAAGATTCATTGTAGAACTTGACAGAGACACAAGACAACAGCGACAAGAACTGGCAATGTATGAAGACATATTGTTTGGACAAGAACAAACCAGTGACCACAAAGTCCTTATTCAATAAGAAGAAAAACTGAACGCATATATACAAGAACTACCCGTCCTCGAGTTCAATTCCCGGAAGTACAATCTGAATGCTACCTAAGAATTCCTGTTCCCTTACACGATAGAACATCATCATATCGAGTTTACTGTCAACAGAAACAACAATCACATGTGTCTGAAGACAGACTTCCTGAAGCTCTTCTAGATCTCTACCTATCTCACTCCCGGGTGCATCTATGATCAGTTCCTTTAAGCGTACGAGTGCGAACAGACCAAAGGATTTTTCCGTACCAGTGGTTAAACGAACTGCATAGTAAGAAGAAACTTCCTTAACCCCTCACGCTGCCTTCTACTCTGCTCTCAAGAACCAAAACATCACTGACGAAGAAAACCAGTATTGTTAGAAAGTATGGGAAGAAAATGAAATGTCCACCTTTAAAGATTTATTGGTCTGGTACAATGATCTGGATGCAGTACCTTTCTTAGAAGTAGTAGAAAAAGTGAGTCAGTTTTGGCAAGCAAGAAGATTGAAATGTTTAAAGATGGTATTTCTGTCCCTCGCCTCACCTTAAAGCATTTATTTGTGTACCTGTCGCCGCAAACGTACTTCAGTCTCTTTGATCAAGCTAATAGTGACTTGTATCACCTCATTAAAGATAACAACACTGGAGGCCCTTCTATCATTTTCCACCGTTACCATCAACAACAAACATTTCACACTGAGACGAAAACAGTCTACCAGTTTCACGGCTGTTTCTGGCACGGTCATGATTGTGCTCTCAAGCGAGGAAAATACAAGAAACCCACGGCTGAACCTTTGGAACAAACTAGAGCCAACACGGAGTATACTAAAAGCAAAGGCTATAACGTGGCATAACGCTCCCTTAGCGTCTTGTTCCGGTCTCACTTCGTCAAATAGCTGAAACAAGCCGAAACGTTACGCAAGTTTCACGAACTTGCATTTCCAATCTTGTCCCGAAACGAGTGCAAAATTTTAAAGCCATTTGTTCACATTACAAACTACATCGGGTCGAGGTGGAGCAATCGGCTAATCGCTCAGCTAAGAGTCACATCTGATCCGACGGGTCAAAGGTAAATCGGGGCGTGCCAAAAATAATAATTTTTTCTTCCTCGAATAAATTAAGGAATAATTCAAAGAACTCGAAGTGATCTCGAGATATCTCGAGGTAATTCCGCTCTCACTTCGCCAAAAAGCTGACTCAAACAGAAAAGAGGACTTGTCCCAAAAAAGAAGCTTTGAGGACATTTCTGAGAGTCGTGAATCCTTTACTTTGTGCTCCCCCCAAGTAATGAAGAGGGTATCATTATTAGCAATAGTGTGTTGAAGAAGATTCCAAAATACTAATGCAGCTAACAGAGGTAAAAATACCACTAACGAAAAAAGTTTATATCTTCTACATTTTCCCTAAAAATAAACTGGAAATCACGTCTCTTTCTGTTTGTCAAAAATTTAGAAAGAGATTAAAAAAACACATTAAAACTGGTCTCCTTAAACTTGTAAGGTATATTACAGCTACAACTTACAGTCTCTAGATGGTTCTGCGTCACACGACACATCTGCAGCTTCATTGGTAAAAACAGCAGGAGAGCTGGGCCCTTACTCAGGTGATGTACAAAATGTTCTTTTCTGTCAGAACTCGGCGCCAGCTGCACAACAAGCTTAAAAAGAAACAACGATCATTTTAACCTCCATTCAGCGAACACCCTTGTCACCAGGTATATACGTATCCCCTTACGGGTGTTTGGATAAACCTCAAGCATTGTAACGAGCTGCGAAGAGGGAACTATGATTTACACTAACTGTTGTCGTATTATACGTAAGAGTTACACCCATATCCGTGTTTGACAGTGTTAACTGAATAAGGGCAGACAATATTGTCCAGTTATAAGAGGAAAGTTCAACTTTTCACCTCAACAGTGTATGTACTGCACTTAACAGGAAATGTTTCCAAGTCAGTTGACTTTCAACTGTTCTTGATGAGGGATGAGGTTTCCCGAAGATCGAATTGAACTCATACTGTGATTCCTCGACAGGTGAGAACAAAATACCAGTGTTGAAGTGAGAGCAAGTTTCTTTAAATACCAGAAAGAGTACTTTTTGAGAAGAGGAAAACCGAATGACAGATGTTGTATAGGGAAGATATCTGTTTACAAACAAACTATTTGTTATTCAAAAGTACCAACCACTGAAACCAGCTCACTATGTGCGTACTTGTTAAAAATTCACCCAACTGGCAACATTGCGTAAAGAAGCGATTTATGGAGTTCATATGGGAACAGCTCTAATTAAAAAAATAATATTGTAGCTTATTGCGAAGAGATGAAATAAAATACAGTTAACTGTACTGTATTCATCTTGAAGCGACGTGGGCTGGCTTTTCACCCTGTCTTAACCTCATTGTAAGTCAAAATACAGTACAGGTAAGTGTATTTTATTTCGTTTCTTGTGTTTTGATAGAATCTGCATTCACACAATTCCAGGAAGAATGTTACAAGATGTGAAGAAAACTTACAAGTAGATTGCAGTGTACATGTTGCACACATTACACGCACAGTTTACCAGAACATGGAAGAGCCCCTAGCTCATTTAACAACTTTTAGAATTACCAGTAACCAGAGATGCACCCACTGGCACCTGGCCGGGCTCCTTACTTTTGCTCTTGGGCGACCAAGAAATCTTACTTTTTCATACAAAAAATCCTATGCTGGGCGCCATAGAATTCACATTTTCAGAGCACCAGGCTCACTTCCATTTTCCTTAGAGCACAGCCTGAAGTCCGTTCGACTGTTAACCATTCGAATTGAGGTGGCAAAGTGGACATGTTTGAATGATTCAAAGAACAATGAGGAGGAGTCAAAGTTATAGACGCAATTTGATAATACAAAAGCTTTTCGAATTAGTTTGGTATAGTCAAGTGCACAAGGGTTCCCTTGTTCAACACTTTGTAATGATTTCTTTCACAAATAATCTGTTCCACTTCAAGATGATCTGGGTTTCTGAGAATGTGTTTCAGAAATACTCAGCCCTAGTTTAAGATGATCAGGTTTTTGAGGATGTGTTTCAGTGAAACATTTACTTTTTCGAAAAACCATTATACTGTGCAATCAAGTTATTTACTAGATATCAGTGAACAACACAATACCTCATATCTATTCGCATCAATCCAACTGGTAATATCTTCAACCGTAAAGTAACTACTTGATGGATAGTTCTAAAACATTGGTGAAAATATAAACACAGAGCAGAGTTAAGGATGCCTTGCATGGTCATTATGATCACTTGGATTGCTGAATCAAAGTAAACTGTGAACAACTCATGGGTACGTTAATAGAAATAGTCCGGCTATTGTAAAGTAAACTTTTGCTAGGGCCTAAACACAGCAAAACACTCCTTGTGTAACTGCAAGCAAAGGTATTTGCATTTGCAATATGACCTTCTAAATATCATGTCACTGAACACGTAAAGTGTTTTGAAAAACGGGTTTGGGTAAAACAATTTCTTTGCTATTACCATCCGTTTGTACTTATTTCGCATTTTTTTTAGTTGTATTAGTAGTAATGAACATTTTTTTAATCGTCTTCAGTATTGTACATGATTATAGGTTTTGATGTACTCTGTTATTAATGGTGAGAAAATGAAAAATGTTCGACCATAAATTAAAAATTTTCATAACTTTAAGCAACTGGAATTCTGGCAACGTTGTTATGACATTTGAGTGCTAAATCTGGGTAAAAAGATTGTCAGTTGTCATTGATATGCGAAAAATAAAATTGTCACTTTGTCTGTGGCTGCCGATTCCAATTTTGTCGGCCAAGAAAAATGCCACCCTATGCGCGTGCCAACACGTGCAATTTTGTCACAAAATAAACGTCATTGGCAGAACAAAGCTTTTTCAACGCATGCTTTTGGATAGACATAAGAACCAGCCACCACAATTATTGTTGTTTTCATATCAGATCCAATGACTAATTATGAAGTGTCTAAGCCTTAGAAGGAGTGACACACTCACATATTGCAGCATCTGCACAAACTCCTTCCTACACTACCCGCATCCATGAGTTGAAACTGATTAATGATCACATAAAAATACAAAGGGTCGTCGCTAACACAGAATCATTCAATGAGTGATAAGCCGGGTTCAAGGTCCTTCTTTCTGTATGTTGGTAGCTCTAAATAACCATCATCTGACTAAAAATCTTGAAGCTGATCGTTTGCTTATTATAATTCCCCCCTCTTTGTCAGCTTTTTTTGTGGGTACACGCAGAAGGAAAGAAGCCGAAAACAAGGATTTGAGATAGTCATATCTAGACATTGAACCCCGGATCTCCTCACCGTCCTTAAGCAGTGATTTCTCTTGTGATTTACCTCCCCACAACCACTACCTTAAAGTCAGAATTTATTGGTCACTAGCTGGAGAGTGGAGCGGGAGTGGTTTAAACACACCATGCAAGTTAAATGACTTATCCTGCTCACATAAATCACGTGCTTGAAGGTTTTATCTAAATTTAAATGGTTTGGTAAGATCTTGATAAACAAACCAATATATCATGATTGAGACGATGATATGCTAATCCTGATACTCCATTCACTCGAGCCGTTAATGAGACCTTGGTAGTTGTTACGACAGCAAACTTGGGTTTTGAATCTAGGAGAAAATGTGGCGACAATTTTGTAGGTAAGCCAAGTTTCAGCAACGGAAAAATAACCATATTAGTGTGCTACATATATAGTCCAGTACACATGAACGCTACACAACAATGCAATGTTTCATGGTTTTTGGGAGGAGCCATATAAGCAGCTAAAATAATTGTAGTCAGAAAGGAATAGCAGGTAACAAGACAAAATAAATAACTGACTTCACTCCACCCTACCCAGAAGATCCTGATATCTTTTGAAATTATCTCTTTCTCATGGTATTTCACTCATGGTTCATATGAGTGTTTTAGCAAAGTTTATTAACTGCAATGGTTGTGAAGCCTTCAGATTCAGACTTTTTTATGTTTATGTTAGCTTTTTGCACTTGAATCGTACTGATGTTCCTACAAGTTTTCTCGAAAACGTTTCCCACCGAAATAGAGACTAGAAAATGCCCCCAGCAGAAAACAGAAAAGCAGGCAGGAAAAGCGAAAGAAGCATGCGGAAGAGAAAGACACATGCAAAAGTCGAGGGAATTGTGTCACTTTTAACCCAAACCAAAATTTGGCCAGTTTTCCCTTTTACTTAGAAAGTTGATACGTAAACGAAAACGCCAAATGAGGTTTTATTTGAGTCTTAACGAGAAAAAAGGCTTGCCCAAATTTTGATTACTTGATTTTAATTATTTGATTACCTTTAATCCTATAGTGCAGTGCCAAACTGAAGAACACAGTAAAGTTCTTGTTGACCCTCCATGGCTGTTTGAAATAACTTATGACTAGTTCCTGCCAAAAAAAAGGGATAGAAATAACTATCTAGGTTTTGAGGAGATCGAACATCTGCCTTAAGGACATGATAGATGAAGAGTTAAAAGTAACACAAAATACAAAACAGGAAGGTGACAGTATGGAGCACAAGGCGTAAAACGATTTGTCTACTGGATTTGACTTAAAGTTTTTACCACGTATTCATCTCAGAAAACTTAATTTTTAAGTGCTTTTTTCATCAGAAAAATCAACTTCCCTATTACAATTGAAGGAGATTAAGCAAAATGATATAACTTCTTATCATAAAATGTTTCTGCCACTACACTGGAAACCCGTACAGTGAAACTAGATTAATAAGGACACAGAAGGGGCCATAGACCGTATTAACGGGGGTTGGGTAGAAAGGGGGTTAAATTTAGAGAAAATGTAAGGGCTTCCCTTCCCCAGGGACAAAGCAAACTGTCCATTATAATGAAGTGTCCGCATTAAGCGGGTGCCCGTAAAGCAGGGTTTGACGTAGTAGAATATCAACGACTATCGCCTTTTTTCACCAAAATGATGCTGGTTCATGCGCGCGCACTGCTTAGCATTGAGAAGATTTCAATTCCATGGAAGGGTAGGGGAAAACAATTTATCATCTCCACATTTACAAAAGGAAGGGGGCTGTTGTCTTCGTAATAAAGTAACCACATAATGATACTCTGACTATAAAGAGGTTATGACTGTCAAGGGGTCTAATAATACCGCTTACATGGTTGCAGGGAATAGACCTTATTCAGGATACTTGTCATCTTTACATGCGCTTTAGGTTCGATGGGATAAAAGCAATGTCACGTGGTATTTCGGGGGGCAAATAAGAGATAAAATTTGCTTATACGAGTAATCGCAGTCGAGTTTGTTTTATATTCTATCAAAACGAGATGACAATTTGATAGTCACCTCTGAGAGAGCGCTTACACAGTTTATGGATTGGACCAACAATAATAGAATGAAATGTAATACGGCTAAATGTAAGGAGCTAGTTATTAGAAAGAAATGTAACAATTCAATATACCCGGAAATGTTTAATATTAAGCAATATGATCGTGTAACTTTACTAGGTCTAACATATTGTAGGTTTGATTAGAACGCGTAGGGTAGCAACGAACGTGCTTTTAATACAACCGTGAGTGCGAGTGACAAGATTTCTTATATGAATAAACTAACACACGTGATAGCCTGGAACTATGGTGGAAAAGTGCAGACCAGTCAATAACACTACATCCCCCTCCTTTTGAGGAAAAGATAGAAAACTAGATGCTTTGCTAATGTCGAACTGTTCAAGTTCCTAATAAAGAAAGAAAACTAAACAATGCATGCAATCATAAGTTCAGTCTCTCTGGAGCTTAAACTCTCCTAGTTGATCTGCGCAGAGGAGGAGGAACTGCAACAGGAGGAGGGTCTGTTTCACCAGCAGGGGAAGAGGCAACACTGTCAGGTGATGCAGAGGAACTGCTGGTCACCAGCTCTTTAGAATGTGAGTCACCAATTGGAATATCCTCAGGGACTTCTTTTGAAGGAACTGGAAGTTTAAAGGCCTCATCAGTCCTTCGTAGGTGGCGACGGTTTCTTCTGAGTACTCCACCAGTGCTATTAGCCACCATGTAAGACCGGGGTGCATCAGCCACACAGTGAACCACACCTGGTTCCCATCTGTTGTTGGCAGGGTTATGGATGCGAACACAGTCTTCTGCAAATAGTGGTTGAATTGGCTGCTTTGCTGTTTTATCATACTGTGCCTTCTGCTTATCCGGTCTGAGTTGGAACTTGACATTAACGTCTCCATTAGAAGAGGAGGAAGGCTTAGAGACTGCTGGAAGGTTTGTCTGATACATCCGGCCATTCAGAAGCTTGGCAGGCGATGGTAAGTCATGCGACAATGGGGTGCTACGAAGACAAAGCATGGCCAAGTGAGGGTCCTGGCCAGATTCCTTGCACTTTTGTAGAACATTTTTCACTGTCTGCACTGTCCTCTCACTCAAGCCATTGGACTGAGGGTACAAAGGGCTGGAGGTGACATGAGTAAACCCATAAGTATGGCTAAATTCTCGGAAGGCAGCAGAGGAGTACTGGGGACCATTGTCTGTCACAAACTTACTGGGGATACCATGTTCTTCGAAGACAAACTTCAGGTGAGCAATAACTGTAGAAGACTGGCGGTTGGCAAGTTTTTCACCACAGCAAACTTGCTGTAATAATCAACCACTAACAAGAAATCAGTTTGGTTCCAGAAAAATATATCAGAGCCTAACGTATGCCATGCTTTCGGAGGAACATCATGAGGTAGCAAGGGCTCCTTTGCATTCAGCTTTTGGTGACGCTGGCACGGAGAGCAGGTTTTTACTAACTCATCAATGTCCCGGTTAATGTTCGCCCAGAACAAAGTCCCCTTTGCTCTGAGCTTACATTTCTCAGCCCCTTGATGGGCACAGTGTAGTTGATTGAGAGCAGCAGGCTGTAATGACTCAGGGAAGATGATATGTGTGCCTTTCAGGATCATACCATCTGCTACAGTCAGCTCATCACGATAGTTCCAGTAGGCAAGAAGAGCAGCAGGGCAATCAGATCTTCTATCAGGCCATCCGCGCATGATGACTTCACGCAGGGTTGAAAGGGTTGAATCCTTAGCAGTTTCTTCCTGAATCTGGCACACCCTTGTTTGGCTAGCATTGAGGTGAAAATGTACTTTGTGAACAGATATGTCTAGCCCTTGCACAGCTTCACCAGGGCAGGAGCTGATCCTTGAGAGAGCATCAGCAACAGGTACATCCTTCCCAGGAAGGTATTTAATTTGCACATCATACTTCTGTATGCACAGCAACATTCTCGCAAGACGAGGTGGTGCACTTGACAGGTGCTTTTTGAATATGGCCTCAAGAGGTCTGTGGTCAGACTTCACCACAACGAGTCGGCCATAGGCATAATAATGAAACTTCTCCAGACCAAACAGGACAGCTAACATTTCTCTCTCAATACTGGAGCACCGACTCTCAGCTTCGGACAGCAACTTGCTTACGAACTTCACAGGGCCATTAGCTTGCAGAAGGACGGCACCAATACTTCTCTGGGAGACATCCACCTGAATGGTGACTGGCTGGGTACTGTCAAAATACTGCAGGTTAAGAAGGGGATGTGATCACCTTCTTGATTCGGTCTACTGCAGAGAGATGTGCAGAGCTCCAGACAAATTCACTTGTCTTCTTGGTGAGGCTCCAGAGGCGAGCTGCTATGGAGGCCAAATAAGAAATGAACGGCTCAAAAATTGAACCATCCCGAGAAATGTCTGTAAGCTTGCAAGGCTAGTTGAAGGATCCATGGACAGTTTGGACTCAATCTTCGGCGGGTCAGGCTGCAGACCATCGGCACCGATTACGTGACCGATGAATGGAATACGGGCACACTTGAACTTATCTAGGTTAAAACAAAGGCCAGTCTCACGGGCATGTTGCAAGACAGAAAATACAGTCATCGGGCGTAGTCCATGTTAAAATAAGTGATCACTCTCTTGTGTTTGCCATTCTCAGAGCATCGGAACCGAGAATACGATCTCGGGAAATACGATTTAGAAGCCTTAAGAATTTTGATAAACAGCATTTTCTACATGATTTGCATAATGTTCCTTTCCAAGTAGCTGAAATATTTGACGACGTTGATGATAGGCTCTACGTGTTTGATTGTTTATATGAGGACATTCTTTGTAAGCATGCACCTTTGAAACAGGTCCGCATAAAGGGAAATCAAGTTCCCTTTATGAATGAACGATGGCGCAGAGCTATTCGTCAGAAGAACCGTTTGTGGAAGTGCTTCATTCGTGAAAGAACTGATACTAATTATGAACTGTACAAGAGGCAAAGGAACATTTGCACTTCTCTAAGACGTAAAGCTATTAAAACTTTCTTTGACAAGAAAAGTGAGTCGGAAAACCCAAGGGAGTTTTGGGACACATACCGCCCATTTTTGCATTCAAAGAAAAGTACGCAAGCTAATGACATAATACTAAAAGAACACGATGTCGTAATAACAGACAAGAAACAAATAGCGGAGTTTTTTCATAGTTATTTCGTGAACATCGCGGACGGCGTGCCAGAGATTACTGAACAGATTTATGGAAAAGGGTTTGATGCACATCCTAGCATTCAGGCGACTTTTAATAACAACGAGCAGATCGCTGCGAGAAACAATTTTGCTTTTCAATATACTAATAAAACCCAAGTGGAAGCTTTGTTACTCAAAATCAACTCCCGTAAATCCTGTGGTTATGACGGAATACCACCGCGACTGTTAAACGAGTCTGCCAACGCGATTGCTGGTCCTATAGCTGCAATAATGAATCACTCGGTTAGGACAGGACAGTATCCGTCGCGCTTGAAATTAGGTCAAGTTACTCCTTTATTTAAAAAGGACGATGAACTAAATAAAAGCAATTATCGACCAGTGACCGTATTACCTGCGCTCAATAACGTTTTTGAGAGGCTACTTTCAGCTCAAATGGGCGACTTTTACCAGAACATATTGTCTGAATACATATCTGCCTACAGGAGGCACCATAGCTGTGAGACATCTTTATTTAGGCTGACTGAGGACTGGAGGCGCAGTCTAGACAATAAAGAGATCGTGGCGGTTATATCAATGGATTTGTCAAAGGCTTTCGACACCATACCTCATGCTTTGCTATTAGCAAAACTGAAAGCGTATGGCTTGCACGAATCCAGCTGCGCCCTTATCGGTGACTACTTGACGGATAGAAGGCAGCGAGTGAAAATTGGTGATACTTATTCGGATTGGATGAGTGTGAAGCGGGGCGTGCCTCAAAGCAGCGTCCTGGGGCCCATGTTTTTCAACATGTTCCTCAACGACCTCATCTTTCACATTAAGTCTGTAAAATTAAACACTTATGCCGATGACTACCAACTGCACTCATCTGATGTAGACCCAGTGGCCTTGGAACGGCGGATCAATCATGATGTACAAATAGCAAATAAATGGTTCGAAGACAATGGGATGAAAGCAAACCCTGCTAAACATCAAGGGATGGTTCTTGGCAAAACCGATTACCCTTTCTCCTTTTTAACCACAAGATGCCTGGATCTTTTTTGGAATATCTCTCTAGACAATGAACTTAATTTCAAGGATCACATATCCTCTGTATGCAAAAAAAAATAAATAATCAGTTCAGTGTCTTCAAAAACTTATCTCATGCGAAATTATGCTTCGCCTTTATAAAGCGTTTATCTTACCCCATTTTCACTACTGTTCAATGATATGGCACTTTTGTAATTCAGAAGATTCTGTCAAACTGGACACCTTAAATAGACGTATTTTAAGATTTGTTTTAAAGGACTGGGACTCGAACTATGATGCTCTTCTAGACAAGGCTGGTGTGTGTGGTTTAGCCAACAGGAGGATACAAAATATGATGATTTGTATATTCAAATGTCTCCATTTTGGTAAATATCCGTGCTATTTAAAACAACTGATCAAGTTAAGATCTAGTCTCACGGGCATTTTATCACTTCCTAAGACAACCACATATGGTCTAAATTCCTTTAGCTATTCATCTGTGAAGTACTGGAATTCTCTACCTGATCACTTTAGAAAGAATGTAGATTATAGTGAATTTATCCAGTTTTAGTTAATACCATTAATTAATATTATATTATATATGTTGTAACTTTTAAAATTAGTTAGGATCGGAGATACTAGCTATGTAAGCTACACTAAAATCCGAGGATAAATAAAGTTTATGTATGTATGTATGTATGTACAGCACGGAGATTCTTACCATGATCGCGGTCATCATATCCATACACAACAATGTTGTCTGCAATTCTAGTGACACTGGGTAAATCTCCGAAGGTTTCATCCGCCTTCCTTAATTTGGAAAATGTCTTGAGCACAGATTAAGCCAAAAGGTAAACGCAGAAACCAGTACCTTCAAAAAGGTGAATTAAAGGTGGTACACGAATTAAAGGTGGTACACGGCGTACTTCTTGATCCAGCTTAATGTTCCAGTAACCGCTTCGGACATCAAGGATTCCCTAAACTAAGCAGTGCAAGATGTTTCTCAATATATTCTCAAGTGTGGGCGTAAAACAGTGAGGCCTCTTAATGACCCGGTTCAGGTCCTTAGGGTCTAGACAAAGCCGTAATGCACTGTTGCTTTTAGGGACCAGTCATAATTTAAGTTGGAGAGGGGGGCGGAGGAGAAATTGGGGGGCCTTCAATTTTTTTTGGATGGAATATGGGGGGCCGTAAAATGCCAAAAGATGACCTTGGGGGGTCTTCAAGTTTCTTTTAAGTAGCATCCCTACTGAGCAGCATGATGCTTGAGTATTAAAGGACCTGATTTAGATTCAGTTTTACACAAAGTCCTATATTTAACAATTATTCGCCGAAGGCGAAGTTAATATTGTTGAATAATCCCCGAGACGAAGTCGAGGGGATTATTCAACAATATTAACTGAGCCTGAGGTGAATAATTGTTTTAGTATATTCACACGAAGTGATCTCAACAGAATCAGAAAGGAAACCATTAAAAAACGATTAGTTTGATTGACGGGTGAATTCATGCGTGAACACGAAGCCGTAAACAGTGGATGCGCAAAAGTTAGATCTTTACAGTATCTTCAAACATGGCAAATGATAGTTTTAATCTTTTTGTATCGAGTTTTGTAAGCTTTAGCATCAACGGTTTAAAAGAAAACGCCGAAAATTTAAATTACTACCCAATTCTGAGAAGAAAAGTATCTAGAGCTTTATTTGTTTCTGTCAACTCACCGTGAATAAGAAAGTTTTCTTCCTCGCTTCGTCTTGCAAATGCTGTCAACAGCGGGTGCGATCAAGGTGAGCGTTGTTTATCTCCAAAGTTCTTTGCCTTGTTAACTTGCTGGCACGTACAATTTTCGAAAATATTTGCCTTCCTCTCTTCTCCATAAATTAAGTTCTATTTATAGGCAAAATTGGTCTTGCGAGAAAATCCCGAAATCACAAAACAGTGACAAAGCGACCTCGTTTTCCTCTGTAGTGGTAAACATAGCTTCGAGCGTACAAAAAGTCAGCTAAAGTAAACCACTTCACAATAAATCACGCTGTTTAAACACCATGAAGTCTTTTCTTGCCTTCAAAGTCATCAGCGCTTGGATATTCGGGTATTTTCAAAAAGGTTTTACTTTGAAACTTTGGCAAAACACCCAGTTCACGACAGCGATTTTGTTCGGCTTTATATTCACCGCCTAGCGCGGTGAATATAACGTCATAGTCCGAGATAGCTAACCAATCAGATTGCTTGAATTACCAAGATCACTGAGTGTGTATATACTAATATGTAATACTAAAACAATTTAATCAGCATTTTGACAAAAAGATTTAATGCTCAAATAGTAGGTGCATCAACACAACATCCATTATTGTGTAACACTGAAACAGTTTCATCGGCATTTTAACAAATGATTACATGCATAAAGTCATGTTATGCAATCTCACTATCCGAATCATTATTTGTAGATGAGGTTGATGTGGACTCACTGTCTGTGTCACCGTCAAGTTTTGCTATTAGCGCATGTACTGCTCATATAAAAAGCAGTAAGCTTTGGCTGATTATCTTCTTTCTTCCTTGAAGCGGTCCTGTCGGCCTCTAACCTTTCGATGGCTTGTCTTATCTCAATTATAACACAATCACTCATATATCCTTGCTCTACAATCTGTTTGAGAGGCTCTAGGTGAAATCTCTTTCTCAGTTTAGTGTGAAGTGCTTCTCTCTTGTCAGTTACCACATTCGGAAGTGACAGTGTGTAAGAACGGTAAAGTAAAGAAAATGGTATTTGTTATTACCATTTGGGTATTATGTAAGAAAGGGGGGCCCTTAAATCTTTTAACATGATTGAAGGGGGGTACCTAAAAACATGGGTGCTATTAGTAGGGGTCTGCAAATAATTTGGGATAAAAAACAATTTCTCCTCCATCCCCCCCTCCAACTTAAATTCTGACTGGTCCCTTAGTGACACAAACCAGGGAGTTGACCCAGTCAGTTGGCTCGGTAACTTTTGCTAGAATTCCTTGCGTAACAAGAGAATCAAGTTCCTTCCTCAAGGCTTCCTTGAGGGCTTCCAGGACATGGCGCAGAGGACGCACAACTGGAGAAACCGCAGCATCGACTGTAATATGAAATTAACCCTGAAAGGAACCGACGCTTTCAAAGCAATTACCATACTGTTCGGGGATCTCCCTCTTGGCTGCTGGACAACACTTGGTTTGGACTCTTTCTTGTGGCTTATCATACTAAAGGTCATGGTAACCAGGTTTAAATCTGTACCGGTAGGTGGGCCCAAGTTAGTTGGACCATCTTCATCAACAACATGGAACATGCAGTATTTACAGGAATTTCCATGAGCCAGTTTGAGATGACAAATGCCATGATGATCAACGGGATGTCCACCAAATGTAACTATGGTAGTACTAGATGATGCCAAGTTAACAGGAATACCATTAGGATTACATGGCGAGCTTGGAAATAGAGACTTACAGGAATTTAGAGAAATGATGTTTCCCTCAGCACCAGTGTCGACCTTGCACACAAGTCGTTTTTTACGCTGATCAGCCTCGACTTCCAGCTCCAAGAAGGCTTGAGTATCATTTTTTGTAAACTGGTCAATTAACAGGGTGTAGAAATATAACTCTTCTGGCAGATGTGCTGCATTGTCAACTTCGGCTTCATCATGAGTCTCCAGGGTATGCAAATGCTTCTCCGGGCCACGCTTCTCTTTAAAGGACTTGGAATGCTTGGAACCTCCCCTTGCATTTTTCTCTTTCCTGTTAGGCTTTGATGAGGGACTAACTTTGCTCCAATGATTTTCCTTACCAGATGCACCACAAATTGATCCAAACGCTGGACTCAAGGTTCGCTGAGAAATATCAACCACAGTATCCACATAAACCAATGATGGGGCCACAGGGTTTGCTGGGTGAATTTGCTGCATTAGAAGGAGCCTGGCCACGCTTAAGAGCATCAGTTCGCGTAGAATTATCGGTTACAATCTCCTTGATTTGATTTCTTGTGACTTCATCTGTCCTTGCAATATCCAAAGCGGTGTCAAGGGTAAGTGTGGCGTCCTCTTCCAGAAGCTTAGTTTACGTATGCTTCGAATTAGAACCAAAAATAAGCGCATCGATGATGTGTTCATCGGGACTCATAAACTGACACTCTGCCACGAGGATTCGAATTTTCTTCACAAATGAATCAACTGTCTCATCAGCCTCTTGCTTTAAGGTTCGGAGTTTGTACCTTGCAAGTCTAAAATAGCTATTTGGAGACAGGTAGTTCTCAAAGTGCGCCCAGTAGGTGCGAAGTTGCTTCCTTTCATTGGCAATCCAACTGTAAATTTTCCAAACACGTTAAGACCAAATTATGCGTGGCTAACAAACGTAATATGAGGATTAAGGAAACAGGGCTATGGGAAGAAACACGTTGACAATCGTGCTCTAAAAATTGACCTAGGGACTCTCGATTTATTGTACTAGCAAGTTAAGGCTGACCTTGTTGTTATGGATTGCTTTCTAATGGATGCCATAAAAGATGCGACATCTTAGAAAAATTAAGTATCTATGATCTTTTGGAACACTCTGACAGAAAGTTCTATGATAAATTAGAGAGGACGAACACCATCTTTTATATTCTATCTTACCGACTGTAAAGGACTGTTTCTCAAAGACTTCTCAGAAAGACATTTCAGCTACCTTTAGTTAAAACTGAACGTTTCAAAAACTGTTTTGTAAATAGGTTATGCCTTAATTATAACTTAAGAATATGATATTACTTTAATTGTAATTTTTAATTTGACTTTTTTTGACGACTTTGTAACTTTCGATTTGTATTTTATCAATTGGATAAATATTATTATTATTATTTTTATTTTTGTGTATTATGTACAGTTCGAGTTTTGACAATATTTTTAAAAGTCATTAAACACTAAATGACTGGTCCTGAGGGAAACAGTAAATTTTGTTTCCCGAAAATTTCCATGTTTCCTGAGGCGAATAAGTGATTCATTATATAGCTGGAAATTTTGAAGCTGGAAATTTATTAAACGTCACTGTAACGGTGGTCGTCGGTCAACATTCGTAGGTATCAGTGCAATGTTATCCTCTGCAATTTTGCCTGCTCAGATATTTTGGCGGGAAACAGTTTCATTGTTAATGTCATCTGAGCTCGAAGTAACCAAAGAGAGCGCGCACTGTTGCAAAGAAATCAGTTGTCTAACAATGTTGTTTGCTGTAAGGAAATCTACGGTTGCTACTGCATCCAAAGAAGTACCGTAACAATGATTATTGTCTGTACATTGTATTCTAGAATAAACAAACTCGACGGTGATTTCTTGCATTGGCAATTGTTTTCACTTGTTTGCCCCACGCGAAACCATGTGACATTGCCTTTATCCCATCAGTCTTAAATTGCGAGCAAAGATGGCGGGTATTGTGAATAACGCTTATTTCTGACAATGCAGTCTACACAGGTATTAAGCGTCTCTACACATAATGTGGTGGTGATGGAGTCAAAACAATAGAAATGTGGTGGTGGTGGTGGTGGTGGTGGTGGGAAACAAAAGAAATGTGCTGGTCAGGGGCGTAGCCAGCTTTTTTACTTGTTGCAGGCCCGTCCCTAAGGTGATCCGGTAATACAGTAGACAGATAAGACCCTCAAGACTGTTAATTGTGACCTCATCCGAATGATTCTTGGTATCAACCACTTCAATTTCAACAACCAACTCTTTCTTCAAATCCACGAGACAGCCATGGGAACATGAATGGCACCTTCATACGCTAACCTATTCACGGGAAAATTGGAACAATCTGCAATCGAAAACGCCCCTTTCAAACCTTACGTTTGGTGGAGGTTTATTGATGACATCTTCATGGTGTGGACAGAAGGAGAAGACAATCTTCAAACTTTCCTACATCTACATCAACTCTATCCATCCAACGATCAAGTTTAAACACGAATTTTCAAATTCTTCACATCAGTCTTCCCTTCCTAGATGTACAAGTCCATCTCGACAACAGCCTAATAGAAACTGATCTCCACACTGAACCCACAGACAAGCACCAATATCTTCTGAAAACCTCGTGCCATCCTGCCCACACAAAACGTACCATTCCTTTCAGCCTTGCCTTACGTCTGCGTCGCATCTGCTCCACTGACGATTTCTTTAATAAACTCTGCGATAAACTTATAAACTTTCTGGAACTACGAGGATACAGCCGCCACTTTTTTAAAAAGAAATTAACCAGGCACGTTTCATCCCACGTTAAGACACTTTACGTGATTGTAGCATACAACAAGCCTATCTCCCGGCGTTACAAAATGGCAATCATCCACACTGCCTTACCTTCACCTCCTCCAAAGAGAAACGACGTATACATGACCCCTTAAACTGTAAATCCAGAAGCCTTATCTATCTCACTGAATGCAAAAAAAGCGGCAAACAGTACACTGGGGAGACAAAACACCATCTCCACCAACGCTTTGGGGAGTATCGCCGCTCCATTCTCAACTACGGCCACTTTTCTAATCCCATTCCTATCTCCTAACATTTTAATCAAGCCGATCACTCTATCAATGACGTCCTTCTTATTCCCTTAGAACTAATCCGTAGCAACCGCGACTCTGTCAGAAAGGCACGCGAAGCTCACCTCATTGATAAAGTTATGACTTAAGAACATCATGGTATAAAGAGACGTGATGAACTCATTTGGTGACATTTATCTTTTTAGTAGCCTATCATTTTCTGTTTTTTATGTATTCAAATCTCGCATATGCAACGTTCATCTTTTATCTGTATTCATTTTTCTTTTATAGCCCCCGTTGAAGGTTTGTGTCGCAAACCGAAATATGGGGCAAATATAATTCACCACTTTATTTTTTGTTTTCTTTCTTCATTTATTCTATCACCTTTTCCTGCCGTGAGGATCAGTTTACTGTTTTAAGTTTAAAATTTGGGACTCAATATTTTACTGATCCAGGTGTACTGAAGATCCGGCGGACCCTCATTGGTTTGGTCGTTGTGGTTTTGCCTTCACAAGTGTTTCTGTTAATTGTTAGCCTGGGACCAGGCTCCGCAGTGGGGAAAGAGCGAAAAGCAGGGAACGGGGAGGAGGAAGGGGCAGAGGAGCCTGGACACATGCCTTTGTTGACATTTCTATGACAGGTTAATTGCTGGAGGGCGGATCAGCGGCATCAAAGGCATGTTTCCAGGCTCCGCCGCCCCTTCCTCCTCCCCCCTCCCCAGTCCCCGCTCGCCTATTTTTTTTCCCGTTCCCCGCATTTTGCCCTTTCCCCACTGTGGAGCCTGATCCCAGGCTAGTTAATTGTATGCGTAGTTAGTTGAATCTGGAGTTGAATCTTCCGCACTGAATGACACATCATGCTTGTGGAAATGCATAAGAGCGAGTCAACTCAAGCAATCTTCTTTAATCATGGACCTAAGGCAGGTTTTAAGGCTTCTCAGTGCACTGAAAGACTTCTCTGCAGTTGCTGTAGTGAATGGTAGAGTTAAAAGTGTTGTAAATGCCCTGGATAAATTTGGGAACTCTTGCGGGTGACAGCGAGGATGTTTTTTAACAATTGTGGCCAGAGGATCGTGCACTCTATCCCAACGTGTTTTCCACCGCACTTGCCTGTAATTGTCTAATTTCTTCCGGGATGTCGGGATTGCACGCACCCAAAACGTCTTTGACACTGATCCTAGCTGGAGACGAGTTGCCTACATTTTTCGGCAAAAGATTTGTTATAGCAAATGGTGGACTTGGTTTGACAATACGCGAATCAAGCTCCTATAGCAATAGGGTCAACGAATGGATAATACATCGCTCGTTTGTAGTAGTCACTTACTGAATCTGATGAAACATTTTCTCGATTCAACTATCGGCCAGCTAGTCTAGGTTTACAAACTGGGACATCACGCTTTGCCGGAACAGATACTGCCATTTGATACAGCTTATTCCAGGACTCGTCTTTAAGATCACTGCGAAGTGATTGGATGACCACTTTGGCCTGCGTGTGTGCTTGGAGCAGGTTTAGGACAACCCTTTGAAGATAGCTGGTGAGAGGCACGATAAATTGTAGCAACCATTCACAGGCAATTAATGCAATAGCCCATTTGAATGATGACGTCATGCGCGCTGTGCCTTATGGTTGTAGTAGTAAAGACCGCGAAAGTTAAAAAAAATGGCGGCAACTAATGCGAAAAGTCATGAAAACAAGGAAAATTTCGAAAATTTCAAGAAGAAAATTGTTTTGACTGAGGACGATGTCCCAGGGGCATCATTGAAAAATAAGGATCCTCAAATCTTTCATCATGAACCACTCAAACGTTGGTTAAAGAGTCGAGGTGCTAGTGTGGGTGGGAGTCGAAGAGAATTACTAGCAAGGTTTGTAGTTCTGTCAGTATTTTATGAATTAAAGCGATTTTCTCAGGCTCCAGCTGTGTCTTTGACTTTAATAGAATAAAGGATTATCAAATATCTGGCCAGGATAAAAAAATCGTCGATCCAGATGATCCGTAGACTTCGACTTGAGCGCCAGCTGCGATCACAACAAACCAGCGATAATCTTCCCAAGAGAGTTACATGGCCCAGCGATGGTTGGGCATTATCCTTGGAACAAATGCCTCCGTTTCAGCATTGTTATTTGTTTGCTCATTTAGCCGGAGAAATGGAAAGTAACTCGAAGAAAGTTCGCCGAGGTGCTTTCAAAAGCAAGCGTGAAGGTTACGCTCTACATATGGGATGGTTGTCTTTAAAGCGATTCCAAAGGTTCCTAGCCCTGTAGCGAGGAAAGGATGCAAAAAAGATGTGGAAAAGATTAGGCAATGGGCTAGAACTTATGGCGATAGCACACGACAGCGGAGCGTCAGAGCGAAATCAAATCCAAATCCAGGCGCTTTGCCTATCAGCGCCTATGGCCGACGGAAGCTTCCAAACAATCCAGCGAGTTTGGAGGACCTCACTGAAAGGTTGGAAGAAGAAAGCGTAACAGCTGACATGAATGAAGAAAATGTTGAGAGAGAGGAGAGTATTGCACTTGTTGCGAACAAAGACGATGTGATACTCATCGCTAAGTTCAAAGGGATGAGTGGACCCTTTATTTTAGGCTTGCACAAAACCTTAAGAGAACTTCGTCTACAGTAAAAACACACCTGTACGCAAGCGATCCAGAAGATTGTCTAATATTCAATTACGAGTTCACCGCTCAGGCAGAGAAACATCTTGTGATTGGAACCGTTTGGAAGGTGCAGTTCACAGACGAAGATTTTCAGATCGATTTAAACCAAGAGCTCTACGAAGAATGTCTCGAGCGTACAGGGGGGTTGAAGAAAGGCACATGACTGATGTGGATGAAAAAGAACTTGAAGAGGAACAAGATCCTCGTGTCAGAACAACCTCTTCTGGAAGAATCCTAAAGCTTCCAAACCGTTTTTATTGAAAACACGGACAAATTAAAGCCCAGTGAGTAGAGCGGTAGAGAAACTCAGAGAAACTCAAGGTAACAAAAATCTTCTATTTTTAACCATATATAGCTAGATTAGCTGATTTATTATTTATTGTTGTCATTTATCGAGTGCATTTCCACTGAACTTGATAGCCATATTTATAGGAATTAAGCACCATACAGAATTACATTTACTTTAACCCAAAGAAGGATTTACAACATTTCGAGCAATACTGACAAGAAAGCGAGCATGCATGCGAGCAACTGCAAGAATTTCGGGAGCACAAGCAAGCGAGCACTCGTTTAAATTTTGCGAGTAAAATAGGAATAGGAATTAAGCACCATACAGAATTACATTTATTTAACTCAAAGAAGGATTTACAACATTTCGAGCAATACTGACAAGAAAGCGAGCATGCGAGTAACTGCAAAAATTTGGGGAGCACGAGCAAGCGAGCACTCGTTTAAATTTTGCGAGCAAAATAGGAATAGGAATTAAGCACCATACAGAATTACATTTATTTAACCCAAGGAAGGATTTACAACATTTCGAGCAATACTGACAAGAAAGCGAGCAGGGGAGCAACTGCAAAAATTTGGGGAGCACGAGCAAGCGAGCACTCGTTTAAATTTTGCGAGCAAGTCGAGCAAAGGTAAAATTTTGCGAGCAGTTAAAAATTTTAATGGACCATTCATCACCCCTAAATAACAAGGTTATTTGTGTAACGTCGCTACTTTTTTGACATATAGCAAAAAGTCAGTCCTCAAAAAATATCGTTCTTCCGTCTTTTAGAAACTCCTGAATTTGCCAGAAGGTGAGACTTCTGCCATTAACACGCATTAACAGGTTTTTAGTTGTGCGGTGTCGATCCCTTGTTTTAGTAAAAGCCTTAACTTAAACTATGAAAACACACTATTTAAAACACAAAGACTTGATTATTGCATGGGTACGAATTATCTAAGCTTTGGGTACGAATCACCTTAGCTTTGGGTACGAATCATCTCAACTTTGGGTACAAATCGACTGGGTACGAAACGTCCGGTAAGCGTAAAGTTAGGTTTTCTAATAACGCCTTGTAAAAAGTAGCAAGTTAGAACTAAGCTGATCTTAAACCTTATAACCCAACTAGTCATATCTTCAATTATGAAGTTTAATAGCTAGTTAGATTTTTTCTTCATCACCTGGTTGGACTTCTTCGCCAAATTCAACTCCGAAACTGTTCCAATGTACATGAATGGTCTTATGATAGCCTGAAGAAATTCAACCTGCCAAAAATAATAATACTAGTTATGATACTACTAGTACTACTACTAGTACTACTACTACTAGTACTACTGCTAGTACTACTTCTAGTACTACTACTACTAGTATTACTACTACCCCTACCACTACCACTACCACTACCACTACCACTACCACTACCACTACTACTACTACTACTACTACTACTAATAATAATAATAATGGAGACTTTCTTTGTCTTTTTAAATGTAAAATTGTAAATCTCACTATACACATAGGCAATGTATAATTGGCTGCTCAAGATTGAACTTTTCAAATATCAAAATTTCATCAAGTCTGGGCTTTCTTAATTCCTATTTCTACAGAAAAAGCTGTAACATGTTGCTCTAATGGCTATATTTATCATTTTTTTTATTATATACATGTAATGTTGCTGCTTTTTGTCAATGCCAATGTCTTTCATTATGTCTAAGAACGTTGAGCATTCGTCGGAGAAAACGCCAAGGAAGCTCATGGACAGGATTACAAATTTTACACATCTGTAATTTCTTTGATCAAGTTCAGGTATTTTTCTTTTTTACGCACTGCATTGTTATTAAGGTTAGACTCGAAACAAACTGATAATTCTAGAACATATAGGCAGTTGGACTGAATTAGGAAAAGAAGATCTGGACGATCATTTTCACCAGTTATTATTGAAGGATTAAGGAAACCATTAACATCGGCATAGATTGACAAGTGAACAGTGGCGGGTTGAAGTGACTTGGCAATGAAGTTAAGGATTGAGTCATGTCTCCAGGTGAACTGATCATGTTAATGCTGACAACCAGCGATATTATGAAGGAGTCATTCTGGATTAAGGCAAAAGGAGCAATGAGGACAATAATAATAATAATAATAATTTAAATTTATATAGCGCAAACCTCTATATGAATATATTCGGTTGCGCTTTACAATATTGTTATATTAAATTTATGTTAAAGGTGACTAAAGCATGAGAAACTATTAAAAACTACAATAAGTATTAAAAACTGTAAATAAAAAAGTAATAATAATAATAATAATAAAAACCCTATTATAAAAGCCAGCAATTAAATCTATTTAAAAGCTAAGTTGAAAAAATGAGTTTTAACAGCAGTCTTAAAAGTGTCCAATGTCTTCATGTTGCGAGTTGCCGAAGGTAATGCATTCCAGAGATAAGGTGCAGCTGACTGGAATGCACGATCGCCAAGAGTTGGATGGGTCTTAATGCCTGGTAACTCGAGGAATACAGACTCATTTGACCTTAGAGAGTACCTGGATTGCTTTTTGATGGTAATGAAATCAATTAGATAATTAGGAGCTTGACCATATAAGCACTTAAATGTCAAAAGTAGAATCTTACACTTTATACGGTAACTTATTGGAAGCCAATGAAGGTGGAAAAGCAGTGGTGTAACATGGCAGAATCTAGGTGTTCCGGTGACCAACCGAGCCGCGGCATTCTGTATCCGTTGGAGTTTCATGATATGTGAATTCGGGAGGCCATATAGTAGACTGTTACAATAATCTATTCTAAAAGCAGGAACTAATGATTCGGTGACTGAACGGCTTAAATATTTCCTAATTCTACGCATGTTATAAAGATAATAGAAAGCGGATGAGCAAGTTTTGTTGATATGACTTAGCATACTCATTTTAGAATCAAACCAGGTTCCTAGGTTTCGAACTTCACAAGATGGAGCAATTTGGGAGTCCCCAACAGATAAGGTACTAATGTTACTGACTTTCTGAAGTTGTTGTCGTGTTCCAATCAGAAGACATTCTGTCTTATCGGAATTCAGTTTTAACTTATCCGAATGCATCCATTGACTGATATCAGCAATACATGATTCCATGGCAGTTATAGCAGCGGTCTCCTCCAAATCATTTCCTGATCTAAACGCGATATACAGTTGCGTGTCATCTGCATAACAATGGGAATTAGGAAGATGTGATTCGACGATCTTAAAACGTTTGCCAGCATAGAGAGAAAACAATAATGGCCCGAGACAGCTGCCTTGTGGAACTCCAAATTTAAGATTAAAATTACTCGATAGAACTCCGTCTATATAGATGCGTTGGGTTCTGTTAGAAAGGTACGATTCAATCCAATTAAGTGCAGAGCCTGAAATTCCAAAATCAAACTGGAGGCGATCTAAGAGAATCCGATGGTCCACGGTATCAAACGCAGCGCTTAAATCAAGAAGCACTAACAACGTGACCTTCTGATTTTCCATGTTCATCAGAATGTCATTCTTGACTTTAAACAGGGCAGTTTCTGTGCTATGGTGCCGTCGATAGGCTGATTGCAATGAAGGAAAAAGATCATGCTCATTTAAGTAGGACTGAATCTGATCAGCTGCCACGCTTTCAGCCAATTTTGAAACAAAGGAAAGATTGCTGATCGGTCGAAAGTTTTTAAAAACCAAGTCAAGACCTTGTTTTTTAGCAGTGGTGTAACAATCGACTCTTTCCAAGTGTCAGGGAAAAATCCTGATTCAAGCGACATGTTTATTGTAGTAGATAATATCGGAAGTAACTCATCAAGGCAATCTTTCAAGATATTAGTGGGAACAGGATCAAGTAAACAAGATTTTGTCGGCGCTATATTTGAAGGGGTTTATACATGGAATTTTACGGTATCTAGGAGATAGAATCTCTAAATTCACATTCTCATGGAAATGATGACATGCTAATGAATTATATCAGGGAACAAAATTCATGGGACGAACGCTAAATCAAGTGTGCGTTCTTCGTTCGGCTCCTTATCCAGCAACTGCTATGGAAGGCAATAGGCCTAGAAGACAAGGTGCAAGTGGTCGATGGAGGAGAACAGAACATTGACGGAGTGTTACATGAGGAGTGTCCCCCAAAAAAGAGGATATAGACAAAGAATTATGAGGATCTGGAAGGAGAAAGGAATGTTTGAAATGTTGAAATGTTGAATGTTGAAAAAAGGCTTGCAGACCAAGTAAGAGTCGTCCTCAGAAGTGGCTGGCTCACAACCATTGAACTTGAGGAAATTAAAAGAATGACTGATATGCAAGAAACGAATTTGCTAGAGGGTGGAGAAGCTAGGAGTGATAATGGGTATGATGTGACGATGATACCCAACCACTACCGCCATCATCGAAACAACTAGAAACACCACAAGAGCTAGATGCACAACAACAAACACTGAAACCCAGTTAAGAACTTACCACCGAGCCAATGGTGATTTGGGACAGGTTATGTGAATTAAGAATGGGTGCAGACAAGCGAGAGAAATTACCTTCGTTGAAAGGTGTGTCAAAGAAAAGGGTTAAAGAAGAACTCTAGATCACTGAGGAAGTTGCTAGTTTCAACATTTTCAGCAAGTGTACTATTTTTATTTTGCGACAAAACAATAAATGGTATTAACAAAACGCGAAGATGTAGCAAAGCAAGGTTTCTTTAAAATACACTGTAGAAAACTCCGTCTTCGGGGAAGTCTCGTATTAGTATTTATTTAATTTTATGGAGGTGGGAGGAGGGAAGGAGGTGGGGTGGGGGTGGACACTTATTTATGTTTGAGTGGGAGTGGGACGGTGGTGGGGTGGGTGTGGGCGCTTATTCGAGGCCGGGCACTTATCAACGTTTTCTGCCTTTAGGATGAGCGTTTATTTGAGGTGGGCGCTAAATCAAGGTTGGGCACTGATTCGAATAAATACGGTAGTCAATCGCAGGACTGTCTTAATGAGGTGCTGGTGCCCGAGTGGATGGTATCAAAGAACCGGATAAGGGAAATTTAGAAGGGAACTATCACGCACTAACATGCTTACCCCTAATGTGGACGTTGCTCACTGGGATAAGCAGAATACAATACAATACCATACAATAAGAGTTTATTGTGAAAATACAATTAGCTACAATAATGGTGTGCTTTCACAGACGGAACCGAAATCGGGCTCTGTGAAAGTACGCCAGCTAATTTACAGGTATTCCACAAACACAATAAAATTAAGAGTTAAAAAACTAGATATGGAATATTCTATAATTAAAATTATAACAATAAAATCTTAATAAGTATATCTTATATCTAAATAAATACTAAATTCAATAAAAAAGCTCGAAATTATAAAAATTGCACTAGGTCAACTTAGCTAATGGATCTCTTAAAAGACTTAAAATTCGTTATATTTCTAAACATGTTCGGAATTGAATTCCAGAGTTCAAGACTGAGTTCAAGCCATATGTAGTAGACTTTGGCTTGGGTAGCGAGAGGATATAGTCACCTCTTAAATTGTAGCTAACGTTCTTCCTATGAACTATCAGGTCCCGTATACTTTTGGGCGCTAAAGAATTGTGGACGGCATTAAAAATAGACGGTGTGATTTTAATTAATCTTTGTTGTTTTAAAGATGAGAGGCCTAATGCGTTGAGAAGTTCCGAGTAGCTTGTGTACTTATCCCTGAAAACAAACCTGATCGCGCGCTCATTTAACCTTTCCAATTTGTCTGCAGCACTTTTACTACAAAAATTCCAGGTTTCACTGCAATAATTGAAGTGAGGAAGGATAAATGCTAAATATAGGTCGCGCCTTGTTTCGAAGGGAAGCATTTTCTTCATTCTTTTAAGAACAGCTATTTGCTGTGAAACTTTCCTACATATTTTAGCAACATGATTGTCAAACTTCAGTTTGTTATCTATCGTTATGCCAAGCATCTCAAATTCTTTAGTCACTGGGATACTGGGATTTTCACACTTGAAATCAAGTGTGGCGTCAGATTTTCCCATCACAATAGCTTGATACTTAGAATTGTTCCTTTTCAGACCGTTCTCATCATACCATTTATCAACAAGCTCGAGATCAGAGTTTATAGCACTCTCAACTTCTCTATAGTCATTATGAGCAAAGAAAATTTGCGTGTCGTCTGCGTAGCTAGAGAGTTTACATCTTTTCACGATGAACAGGAGATCGTTGATGAAAATATTAAATATCAAAGGCCCGAGGATTGATCCTTGGGCAATCTCTCTGGAAATATAATTTCAGCTCGAATATTCTCCAGCTACTTTCACTCGTTGTTGGCGATCAGAGAAATAATCCTCAATGATATTAGCAGTTCTCTCGCCAGCACCATATTCTTTGAACTTCTTCACAATGAGATCGTGTGGTAGAGAGTCGAAGGCCTTCGACAAGTCCATAGACACAAGGCCAATTATTTTCCGATCGTCCAGCTCCTTTCGCCATTCCTCCGTAACACTGAGCAGGGCCGTATCACAACCGTGATGCTTTCTATAAGCGAACACGAAATTGTGGAGAATATTTCTGAACCGAGGACTGACCCTTGAATGAAGGAGCGTTTCAAAGACTTTTGACAAAGATGGAAGAATGGTGAGAGGTCTGTAATTATCCTTGCACAGGCTGCAGTCTTTCTTATACACTGGAGTTATTTCGCCCTTTTTCCACTGTTTAGGGATTTTTCCAATGTCCAGAATATAATTAAAGAGAGTGCAGTACGGCTCACACAACACTTCAGCAGAATCTTTCACTGCCCTCGCGGGAATAAGATCATGGCCAATGGCTTTATTTGTTCTCATGTTACACATGATTTCCTTCACTTCTATGGGGTTAGTATAATTTAGGGTGATCTGGCCGCTGGCGGAGTGGTGTGGAAAATGTGTGAAATCCTTCAGTTGTTTTATCAGTGCCAACAATGATTGAAAAGAAATCGTTCAAAGTTTCTGCAACTTCACGTGGCTCCCGCATTATCTGATCGTTCTCCTTAAGAACAATACGGCTATTGTTCTTTTTCTTACGTGAATTAATATACGGTCTAATTGTGTTCCAGAATTTTCTTTGATCTGCGTATTTCTCCTTACAAAGTGTTTTGAAGTGGTCCTGTACAGCTTTTCTCCTCATACTGACAACTTTGTTTCTTAAGACACGATATTTTTCCCACTCGAGAAGATTCCTGGATCTGTAATATCGCTTTTTCTGTTTATCTCGGTCCCGCATTGTCTTCCGAATTTCATCTGTTATAAATACTCCAGCCGGTGACGGGCGTTTCTTGACTGTTATCTTGGGCGCATGAGCATCCAGAACTTGATCGTGGAGTTGATGCCAACACCAGTGTACATCGTCAGGATCATCAAACACGTATGAGACAGAGAAAGGCACTGTTGATAAATCAGCTTGAAATGAATCCTTATCAAAAGTTTTAAAGGATCGTTTAGTTATGGTTTCTGCCTTTGATCGCATGTGTCGGGTTTTCAGAACCATATATACGACATCATGGTCGCTTAGACCCGTATGAATGACACCCGAGTCTTTGGCAAACGCGGGGACGTTAGTGAGAATAACGTCGAGACAGGATTCCCTGTTTTTACTGATCCTTGTAGGAACATTAATAAGGCTGTCAAGGTCTTAAATGTCACACATATCCAGTAAACACTGACCCTCTTTGTGATTATCAAGTGGGTGGAGGATGTCCGAATTTAAGTCTCCGGTACAAATCACGTTATCAGAAAGGCTGTTTGCTTCATCCAGAAGATCGCAGAGTTCGCGTTTGAATGTGTTGTTGTCAACAGATGGAGGCTTATAGGCAGTAATATATGCAAACTGCCGTTGTCCGATTTTCATGTCAAACAACATTGATTCGACACATTTTCCTCTCAATTTCTTCCGTGAAGCAGCTATATTGTCTCTGATGTATACTGCAATGCCACCGCCGCCTTTGACTCTGTCGCGACGATAAAAGTTAAAACCATCGACATGAAATTGTGAGCTCGGAAAAGTTGAGTCGATTTTAGTCTCTTGTATTGTCAAAATGTCGAATGCATTAGTAGCTAGCCTTAGTCGAACCTCATCGAACTTGTTTTGCAGGCTATTAATATTGAGGCAGGCAATAACACATTCTTTTCTGTGCTCAATTCTAATGTCTTTTATCTTGGCTAGGACTTCATCGGTATCGACCGATTCGACGTCGCGCTCCTCGTCTTCACAGTTGCTCTCGTTCAAAGTAGATGAGCCAGTTTCGTCAAAGAAAGAGTCCGATAGTTTAGGCAGAGAGCAGAAAGCACATGTCCATTCCAAGTCGGGATGTTGTAGGTAGTATTTGAACCCGGTAACGGTTAATTTGAGACATTCTGCGTGGGACCGAGTATCACAAGACGAGCACAAAATGGCGTCTTGGTTCTTTCTCACTGGCTCACTACACTCGCCGCATGGAAACTTGGGCTTATCTTTGCCTTTCGCAGGGCCAGGGTTTGACGATATATCGCCGCAGACGAGTAGGTCCCGTTGTATTTGGAAGGTACTCGCGCCGTTTGTGCTGTACTGAACTCTACCAGAGAAGTATCGGCTCGCTCGAGAACGACGTATGAAAGGAGCGTTGACCACACGCTTTTCTAGGAAGAACGCGTCTGAAGCCTTGAAGAACTCAATGACCACTTAGAGCAAAGGGATTTATTCCCAACTGAACAAGAGGAATGTCGTAAGAACAGCAGGGGAACCAAGGACCAACTAATGATAGACAAAGCAGTAATACAATCCTGGAAGAAAAGACCAACTAATCTTGCTATGGCTTGGCTACATTATAAAAAGGCATATGACTTAGTCCCTAAATTAGTGGATAATGGAGAGACTAGCAATGTTGGGGCTGCTGAAAACATCAAGTTGATTCTTAACGAGAGAATAAAGATGTGGAAAACTCCTGACAGCACACAATGATACAATTGGTGAAGTAGCAATCAAGAGAGGAATTTTCCGGGGAGATTCTCTTTCTCCACTACAGTTTAAAATCGCGATGTCCCCTCTCACATGTCTCTCAAACTCAGCGAGGAAGAGGGCAAAATTAATCACTTTATTGTTTATGGATGATGTGTAGTTGTATGGAAGGGATGAAAGAGAAATTGAGAAAAGAAAATATTTAGCAATAATGTTGGAAAGGACTTTGGTTTCAATAAATATGGTCATGAAGAGGGATAATGTTAAAAAGAGTGAGAACAGAACTTCCAGATGGAAGGAGGCTATGAGTGTTGGAGGAAAATGATGACGCATGCTGTTTGTCTTCCTTCGATAAGAAGTGGTTGTTGAGTTGCCGGATCAATTTCTTGTAGTTGTTGTCGTCTTCCACAGGAGCGGTATCTGGAAGGTTTCGGGGGAGTTTCTTGATTTCGTACCTGCCGTAGATTTTGAGCGCGCTTGCTTTGTCTTTCACGCACTTTAATTTCAAAATATGTATTCTGTTTCTTCTTTGAAGTCCTTGAGCCTTCTTGCCACACTTGGCCAGTTTCTAAGGGGCTGTCTGGAATCTTGAACCAGTTTGTTCTAAGTGATTTTCTGAAGGTTGAGACCCGAATTTCTCTCGGGTTGCTTGTGGTGCCAGTTCCTTAGCCTGAAATTCATCCGATTGCTCTGAGTCGTTTTCTCCTCTCAACAACTTAGGGAGTAATAACGACTCGAAGTAATCGGATGAAATTCAGGCTATAAAATGGCCCGTTTGACTTAAAAGGTGGCAGGTTTTTTTGTTCAAAGAACAATGGGCTTACCAAACTGTCAAATGGACATCGACACGCATTTTATTCATGAGACAAATTTTACTCGTCCTTCCTCGTCTTCAAACACGAGCAAAATGCCGGCAAACCACTATACTCACACCACCAGACGACTCGTCAGACGACTCGTTTTCTTCAGTGATCGGGACTCGTACACCGCAGCTTTCTGACGTACTTCCCAAAGATGACGAATGCGAAAGTCCTTTCACTGACCTAGTCCATCAACTGTCTAAATGCTCAGCTAAAGATCTAAAGGTAGCACATTTGAACATCTGCAGCTTCAAAGAGCTGTCACGAAATTCAGCCAAGTTAGGGAAATTACAAAATACCCGTTAAATTAAGAGAAACATAAAACTAACCGCTTAAAACTTTAAAGGAAGGTTAAAATAACATAACAGAAACAACAGATGCCACGGATGGGCAAAACTGAAGAAGATTGAAACGGATTGAAATTAGGATTTTTGAAAACTGTTCAGCCTAACAGTTTTTCAAAGTTGATCCCTGCTGCTTGCAGCTTCAAAAATATTTGTTTGGGGACATATTTGTTAGTTTCGGATCTCTGATTTTGTCATTTACATGTAATTTCTTTGCTTACGTTAAGTTCCATAGCGATTGAGGGCGAGTAATTCGCAAAATTAAACAAAATGAACTTGATTGCCGTGACACAGCCCCTTTAAGAAATAAAATCGACGAATTAAGATGCTTGCAGTTATTATGCAAATTTGAGGTGCTGGCAATAACTGAAACTCACCTCGACGAAACTGTGTTAGACACTGCCTTGAACATTGACGGGATGAAGCTATTACGACTCGACTGCAAAGGACGCAAAGGAGGAGGTTGCGTTTTGTATTTTGCAGAACATTTACATGCTATTCATCGCAAAGATTTGTTTATTGAGGGTCTTGAAGCGATTTGGCTACAAGTCAAAACTTCTAGCACCCTGGCCCTATTTTCTGTCATTTACAGACCACCTGACGACAACCTTTTCTTCGAACGCATCAACACGCCACTTGAAAAAGCCTGGCTGAGATCTGAAAATATTTTTCTACTCGGCGACTTTAACTGTGACTTTTCTTTTCAAGGCGATCCAGATAACATCCTGCACCGAAACACAATCAAACTGCATTCTATCTTTGAGTCGTTTAATATGCATAATATGATTCAGGAGGCCACAAGATCAACAATTTCATCGATCTCTTTGTCACAACAAAAAGAGATCTCATCAGCTCTTCTGGAGTATTCCCACTGGGGCTATCAGATCATGATTTAATTTATGCAACCATTCGGCTCAAGAACAAAAGACCATCGCCAAAAATCATCAAAACAAGAAATTACAAAAGAATGGACGTAGAGAAATTTAAACATGATCTTGAACGTCCTCCATTTCACATCGCATCCATCTTCGAAGAGCCTGACGACCAGCTATGAGTTTGGGAACGACTCTTCGACGATATTTCCAATGAGCATGCTCCGTGGACGGAGATAAAGGCAAGAAGCTTTTCCTCCCCATGGATAACTTGCGAAATTCGTCACAAAATGAACCGACGGTATAAACTGTTTAAAGCGGCAATTTCTAGTAAATGTCCAGAGCAGTGGTCTCAAACGAGTCAGGAACGAAGTTACGTCTGATCTAAGAAAAGCTAAATCATCTTTTTTTTCCACCATTTTTAATGAAGTCAAGTCCTCGAGTGCATACTGGAATCTTCTTAAAAGAGCTACCAACCCCAACGTCCGCAAAAACATCGGGCCTCTTAAAAAGGATGACAGCACCCTGGAATTTACGGACTCGGGAAAAGCAAACCTGATGAACTCTTATTTTGCTACGATTGGCCTAAAGCTATCCAACACTTTACCCCCGCCTACAAGTTGTGGACACGGGATAACTTGCACAGACAAGGGCGAGACGGATACTCCTCGACTCAAAGATGCCTGTTTCAAAGTCTTTAGTAGCGGACAAAATAAAGGCGCTAAAAACAAGAAAATCCACGGGTCCTGATAACATACCTCCAAAGCTTTTAAAGCTAGCAGGCGATGCGATTGTCCCGTCACTCCTCAGCCTATTCCGACTCTCCATTACCACTGGTAGGGTGTTCACTAGCTGGAAAACTGCGAGGCTTACTCCAGTATATAAAAAGGACGATGAAACCGACTGCTGCAATTATAGACCGATATCATTGCTAAGCGTACCAAGCAAGATCCTTGAATCAGTAGTCAACGACACAATTGTTCGTCATGTATACAAAGCTAATAATGTAGTCACGGACAAACAATGGGCATACCGCGCAGGATTTTCAACAGAACTGTTACTAATACAACTTACTGAAACATGGAGAGAAGCTGTGGACGCAGGCTTAGTGGTAGAAGTTGCCTTCATAGATTTTAAAAAGGCATTCGATAGTGTGTCGCACGCCATTCTCGAAACGAAGTTGGAAAGTGACTTTGGCATATCAGGGCTACTCCTGGACTGGCTTAAAAGTTACTTAAAGGAAAGACAGCAATACACAGCTGTCAATGGATCAACTTCAGAGATGATACCGATCTCTTTTGGAATTCCTCAAGGGTCTGTCTTGGGGCCGACTCTTTTCACTCTCTTCACGAACGATCTTCCGTCCTCACTACCTTCCGGATCCGTCTATATGTTTGCCGACGACACAACGGTTTACTGCATAAGTGACACGGCAGAAAAAAGTATTGCCAAGTTAAATTCTGCACTTCGTGAATTAAACGAGTGGTGCCTCATTAACAGATTAACACCCCACCCAAGTAAAAGTGAGGCCATACTAATCTCTAGAAGAAATCCCCCGGTTAACATTCCCCCGATCTTTATCGGAAACTCTACGATTGAATGGGTATCGAAATCACGATTACTGGGAATGACCGTTGATGAGAAACTGACCTGGACTCAGCATATGCTGGAACTCAAAAAATCATTTGCTAATAAACTAGGATTACTTAAGAAGTCCAGATTTCTCCCTAGGAACGTTCGTCAGGATCTCTATTTTAAGGTCATCTTGCCTTCAGTGACCTATGGTCTTATACTATGGGGATCTTGCTGCAATTCTGACTTATTTCAGCCCCTGGAAAGACTTCACTGCAGGGCTGCGAGACTTATCTTTCATTTGCCGAAAGACATGGCATCTGCTGATGTCCTACAACGGGCCCAATGGCCGACTCTGTCTATTTATTATAAATTAGCTATTTTTATCTGTCTTCATAAAGCTTTCCACGATAGGTTACCTGTCACATTAATCGACCTGATTTCTAAGAAACGGGCCACAAACTATTCAACCCGGACTTGCGCTTCTTTAATTGTTCCACGCTTCAACACGCGTTACATGAAAGACTCTGTCTCGTTTAGAGGCTCAGTCCTGTGGAATACAGTGACCAACAACTGTAGTGCCCTGACAAAAAACATTCCTTATCGTGATCTCAGGCTAAAGCTTAAATCTCAAGCTAATTTTAATAATTCAGCTTCAAGATAACGTCTGCATCCACTTGTAATTTTAGAAAAGATGACTTTGTATATACTTAAATTTATGCTCATAATTTCATATTTGTAAGCGCCAATTTAGTTCAATTTGTCTGTATATACCCCTAGTTTTTATTTTTTTATTTTTTTTTAGCTTACTTGTAATTAGTTAATTCAAAAGACCCCACAAGCTCATGTAGCTTTAATACTCATCGTTTTAAAATAAAGGCTATCTATCTATCTACCGCCATAATAGTTGCAACTGTTTTTAATGGTAAACGTCACATGATATAGGTACAAAATGCGAGCGAAGTTACGCAGGATACTCCAATGTTGGAATTAACTTAAACGTTCAGTGCCGTGGATTAGGTTACCTGATGAGTTGTGGCAAACACAAACTCTCTCCTCCTTTTAATCCTGCCACAGTGATTTGAGTGTTCAATAATGCTGATATTGAACAGCATTCATGGAAAGCATACGCCAATTATTAATGTTATTATTATTATTATTATTATTACTATTATAATCATTATTATTACGCTATAGCTACTATTAAACTACTAACAGATATAACCCTTGAGTTATTTAGGATTATTATTTGTTAAACTATACCTGTACTTAGTGAGCTATTTCTTACTAGTTTTTCTCATGCCTGCCAATTGTTCTTTTCCTGTTGTTTGTGAGAACCGGTTAGTCTTTAAAACTCACCATCTTTGCAGCTTTAAATGATCCTTTGTATTCCACTCCATTAAACTGAGTGTGGATGGCAACTAATTTTGGAAACACATCAATATTTTGCTCTTGAAGGCATGTCCCCACCCAGCAGTTAATGGCAATAAATACGACCTGCAAAGTACATATTTTCACTGTAGCATACACCATCATAAATGGGAACTTATGATAAATTGGGAAAAAAAGAGATATCATGCGATAAAATGAAATACTTATTTGAATTGAAATGATATACCCAAAAAAATTTCGGCTGCCAAGGATGTTCCTGTCAAAACAGGCTACAATGCTTTTTTTTTGTTACTCCTTTTTAGTATAAAGTGGTGGCTCAATTTTATTCTTAGTTTAAATTTATTACCCTTTGTTTTAAACTCATTAACATACATTAAAATAATCTAAAAGAAAGGGAGATAACATTTGAACCTCAACAATAATATAAAAAATGCAGACTGGTGTTTGGTGTGTTTTTCGTTCATAGTTTGTAAAGTAAGATATATACAGCCATGCAAAAGCTGAACTAAGGTTTTCTGACTTCTTCCCTTCACACCCTCCACTTACTCTGCCCTCTTTTCATCAGCTTTTGCACAGCTGAATCTAATTTACGAACCACAAATGAAAAACACATCAAGAAGACTGCTTGCTACCAAGCCCACTAGAACTACTCAAGAACTTTGTGCTGTAAATTTTATAATGAAAGAAATTACTGATGGAAGATCCATACAGTGCAGTGATACAGGATGTACATATATGCCATTGCAAACAGTGTTTCAGCAAAAATAAACAAGAAACAACATAATTGATTATGAACAACACTGTATTTAATTTAAATTTTCAGCCATAGCATTTGCTCTGCAGTAACATGATAATCTTGAACATGGTATGTGAGATGTATGGAAAATAATATTAATACGCCTTATTGAAATGTGATACGAAATTGTGACTCATCTATTGTTGACAGTAATATAGTAAACTGTCAGTCATATAATGGCAAGTAATGGCCTGTTACCATCTTTGAGTATAATAATAATAATTACCTGAATACTGTAACACTACATTTTCTTACTTTCAGATCGCTTTCCAGCTAGCTGGAATTAACAAATGATTGTAAATATGCCTCGTGATCTTGGAGAGTAGAGGAGCATTGCTCTTCAACTGCTTGTGCATGGCTCCTCCCAAAATTTTCTACAATTATTGGTATAGGATTAAATGGAGCCTAAACCAATTGTGGAATTGCACAATCACATTTTAGGCATCCTACTGTTCAACAGTTACGACTATATAAATGATACAGTCAAACCTGCGTACAATGGTCACCCTTGGGAAATGGCAAGGTGTCTGTTATATATAGGGTGACCGATATATACAGGTCAACTTTGCAGAAAATATAATGCGATTGAAAATTTGGGGGAAGTTGTCCGGTGACCACAATACACCTGGTGACCGCTTTATACCGAGCCATCTTATACAGGTTTGACTGTGTTTCTAGCAAAAGCAATCTGCTGTTTGTCCCCGAAATTTAATGATAAAATATTTTGTTTTTCCCAAACTTTTCTTACCAGTGACAATCATCTACGAGATGTAGAGAATATAAGGAAAGTACTTTGTAAATCATTCATTCAGTGGTTTTGAGAATTAAATTGTATTCTTATAACTACCAAGTCGACTGTTTTGATTCGCTCTGCTAAAGGGTATTCTTTTGTTGCTGTTGAAGTATGTTGAAGTGAAAGTCTAGAAATATAACAAAACACTTAACGTCAGGTTCGTTGGGAACCAGTTAGTTTTGTTTTCCCTGGAGTCCTGATGTTTCCCTCAACTCCATCTCAGGAAACATCAGGACTCGAGGGAAAACAAAACTAACTGGTTCCCTCAGGATCTGACGTTAAGTGTATATTATACCCAGGGAATTATAAAATAGTGGTTCATAAAACAATCCTAAAACAAATGATACAAAAAGAGAGTGTCCGAGGTTGGTGGATAACTTGTTATACAATTAGGAATTAAGGACTCAAACACCTCTCTGATTTCAAAAAAAATTTTCAACCTTAAAATAATTTGATCAAAACAGGTTACCTTTTTCGTCTTTCTTTGGTGCCGCAAATTTATACAACAAAGTTAAGGTTCAAGGTTGTCCATTATAGTGAGAAGTGATGCCATTTCCTTTTATTGAAATGAGTGGATGAAAACTGATTCCTCTTTTTAATATACAAATCTTGTCCAGTGACATACAAATCATGTCAAACAGAAAGTAAGATCAGCTGATTCTTAAGTCTTGGCACAAGCCAATCAATAAAATGGGTTTAGAAAGAGATAGGAATTGCTCGTACTGAAAAGAAAAAAACAACTTAAAACAGCGTGCAAACCACTAAGCTATGTGTTGCTAGGCTTTCGAATGTGGAATTTAACACCTGTAGTCAACTCCCGGTAACTCGAACCCTCTATAACTCGAACCTCCCGCTATATCTCAAACCAATTTTCATTTCCCTTCAGATAATTTTCTATATAATTGGACCCTCGATAACTCGAACTCCCGATAACTCAAACTTCTCTTTCTATTTCCCTTGAAGGTTCAAATTATCAGGAGTCGACTGTATTAATTTTTAGTAGACATGAAAATAATTAAATATGGCAGTTGATTCAGAAGTCGGATATAATGATGCCGAATTTAACTTCATTTGTTGTAAATATTCCCAGTCTCTTGAAAAAATTGTTATCCAAAATGGATAAGGATTTCTATAATTCATCCATTATATTCGGCACATGTGAAATGCGACTTCAAAATCAAATGTTGAACCTAAGTTGAATTTTTGACTGTTTCAGTTGCAGATTCGGCAAAGTCGTATTTAATTTCAAACTGTCAAATTTAGTTGATTCAGACATCACATCTCAAAGAAGTTCACTCTCGAATTAAATTAGGCACATGTGAAATTTAACGATTGACCTGGGTAATGATAACGGTGTCCAGTATTACTAAAAATACCGATAGAGATGCTGTGATACATACAGCATTTCTTATATTCCTGCAAACCTTGCTGTCAATTTACCACATTATGTTACTAGCTATATGCACCACACAAGTAAAAAAGAGAGTAAAAAAGGAAAATAAAAAAAAAAAAGGTTACGAAAAATTTGCTTCAAGGGGATTCAAACCCGCACCCTCTGAATCAGTTAGAACTAAAAACTAACGCCTCTATCCACTGGACTTCCTTGTTAAGCGCTGACGATTCCAGTTTAAAAGGGGTATATGTTCCTTCTCCATGGTGATCAACAGTTTTCAAGATGACTCTTTTGGTTTCCATGTAGAATATTAAATCTTTAACTGATTGAAGCCAAACATAAAGCTGACAATAAACCCATTAATACTCTTTAACGCTAGGTCCATGCCGGGAAACATTTAAGAAAGTTACAAACTATCGATCGCAGGGCTACCGACTGAACAGCATGACCGTACGATTCTCTCGCTGCTCGTAAGGTGTCTTTTCATCGGTTGGGGAAAACATTAACACAACATTGTTTATCATTATTTCCATTGTTTTAGGTTAGGGTAGCAAACCACTTCACTTTTAGGGTTAGAAGAGCTGCTACATGATCTCTCTCCTCGGAATGAAGACAAACAACATGGCTGCCAAATACATCCTTTTAGCTTTGAAAGTTCCCCTTTATTAACAAACGTTGAACATTTATTTCGGCAAACAAACAATTGAGTTTAAATAAGATTTCACAAAAGTCTCAAAAGTAGGACTCCTAAAACATTCAAAACACTTTGATCACGTGACTTATGATGTCATGTCCCTCTTTTGGTCATGAAAAAAATTAATTATCAGGTAGAACATTATTCTCTGCCCTGTGATGAAAGGTTGACTCTCTACAGCCAATACAATACAATACAATACAATAGTTTATTGACACTCCCCTGGTGGGGCTTTTCAGTGACAATGCGACTAAAACAAAAAAAAAAACTAATTAAGATAAGAGAAGTAGTTAACAATTTGATTAAAAGGAAAGAATGCGGTGAACAAAGCAATATAAACATACGTATTTAAGAATTAATCGTATAATAAATATTCTCACTACGTACTATACAATACAATATGCATATTTTAAGTTAAAATAAAATAAGATACTAGTAAGATACTAAAATACTATCATAACGTGCTATTTAAAAAGTCAGTAATCAACTTATTTGTCAGACAAAATTTAAAAGTAGAAATCGATTTTGCAGTTTTAAGAGTACTGTCTAGATTGTTCCAAATGTGCACCATGCGGTAGTGGAATGTTATCGGTCCGGTGCTCGACTTATACAAGGGGATGTTTAATAATTGGCAACTTCGAGTCACGCGCCCGGTGACCGCAATTCTTGTTGTAAATTGATCGCTGAGGTAATGTGGAGCTTGACCAGTCATGCATTTAAATGCCATGAGAGCGTCGCGGAAGAACAGCTTTTGTTTAATTGGAAACCAACGTAGATCTCTTAGTGCGGGGGTTATATGATCAAATTTCCTGGTACCTGTAATAATGCGCGTGGCAAAGATCTGCACTGACTGTAGTCTACAGATATTTTTGTTCGAGGTGTTCGACCACACTGTGGAACAGTACAGTAATTTGCTAAAGACTAGGGCATTTATTACTGTCACCAGTTGGTTACGGTCAAGAACATGTTTAACCCGACTGATTTGTGCCAGGCTTGACATACAAGAGACATGACATACAGACATGACATACAGCCCTTGGCCTAGTCTCGTGACTTTTTCACTCATGTTCATTACCCCCTTAACTTTAAATGCCGGACGTCAACTGGTTATTTTTAAATGCTCCAAACAACCAAAATGTCAAATATGCGATTATATTTTAACCCACCAATGAAATCTTGTCACAGCAACAATAAACCCTAATTCAGCAATAGTCATGTGACTGATGATGTAATCTCCCTAGATAGGACATGAGAAGATATTTTATGGCAAATGTTATCTTGTTGTGGTCTGTCAGCCTTCTACATATAAAATTGTCAAAGATATAAAGCTTTAAAAGAAATTGCCTCAAAGGATTCTGGGATAATTTTTTATGACAATTATCATTTACTTTTATAATTTTATATTATTATTCAATGACTACATGAAACAAACTGGCAAGACACACCGACAATCATGTACAAATACATTCAGTAAAAAAGGTCCAATCAAATTTCATCTTGTATTACTTGTATTACTCATTAACTAATTTAATTACTGATTTCTTGAAATTGTCTACTACCTCTGTATGGAGCATTTTTGCTGCTGTGTTGAACTCATGAGCAGCATATAAAGACTGGCCACACCAAGGGGCATAAAACAGCACTGCAGAGACTCCATTTAGAACCAGTTTATCTCTAAATCTTTCCATAGAACCATCAAGAATTTCGACCACTTTACCATCACTTGGAAATAACTGGGGCATGTTGGGAAGGTGTGGAAGGTGAGCATCACCGCTAAACAAAAAAAGGACTTTTCTTTGGTTGTTTTCAGCAAATAATTTGATACTCACGTATATGAACAAAGGATATACAAAACAAAGAATATATGGAAAGCAAAGGTTTAAGATAATGTATTGAAACTTGGCTTCAATGTTGTTCATTAAATTAAATTAATTAAGGCATTTTGTGGCAGCATTCTTGGCTGAATGGAACTGACTCAAGGTATGACTGAACCACATGTAACCCAGACTTTATGGAAGGTCATGCAAATTTAAATTCTATGAGAGAATGTAAGTAAATAAACAAAATCACAACAGTGCAACCAAAATAATAATTTGGGTACATTTAAGGTGACACCAACTTATTTTTGAGCCAATTTTAGTATTTTTCTAACTTGCTCATGTTACGTCAGAGGTGGCCGGATAATTCTTAATTTTGGAAATGTATAAGTTTAATTATTCTTATTCTTCTGAATAACTGAAGTTTATTTTAAAGTTTTGATTTCCCGATATGAGCAAATTTTCCAGCTATGGTGTTTCGCAAATTGTCTTTCTGTTTGCACAAAAATCAAGCGATTTCCATGAAACTTAGAAAACCTTGACTTTAAGACTGTGTTTATTTCATGTGTCAAGTTTAAGGAAATTTGTCGGACTATGATCCGCGCTACAAGACAGGTTTGAAAAACGACAAGGAAAACACAACAATAACTTGGCTTAGTAACCATGTCACAAATCAAACGCCAATTTAAACAATTTGGGAGGGAAGTTACGTTCAATTATAGATAAATATGACACATAAATTTTGGGCTTGTAGCTCTAATGCTGCTTGTGTGATTCCTCTTACAATGTGGACACAGAAGGAAATTTACTTGGAAAATATTAAAGGCTGTGGCTATATGGCCGGTAACTGGTCAAGATTTTCAAAACACTAAATGACGGGCAAGTCCGAAATTTTGACAAATCGAAGAATCCCAGCCAGCCCAAACTATCATGCAAGCGGTACATTGATTCAGAATAGACTGAGAAACTTAGTATCTGATTAACAAATGCTGTCAAAGTCTCTTCAATTTTAAAAGAAAAAAATCCACTCGCATATGAGCGTATTTGATCCCACAGTATAGGGTCTACACTCTAAACACAAGACCACCATGGTTTCACTGCACTTGATGGTGATTTGATTCAAATGTTGTGGTGAAAACTCCAAACCAAAATAGAAGATGACTGAAACCCTAATCACTTTTCTCAGGGCTTAACCCTGGTTAGTGCTTAACCCTAATTGGTATTTTCAGTTGTTAACCCTAATCAGTATCGTCAGTGCTTAACCCTAAATTATCACCATAGTCAAAATATCTGACTGCCGGTCACTTACTGTTTTGTAAATCTTGGCCGGTTACCGGTCATATAGCGACAGTGAATAATATAACTGATTTATTAATAAAATATTGCATTTTGTCAACATATGCTCGCTGGAAAGATATAAAACGGATGCTTGCTACAGTAAGTCTATTGTTTTGTCCATATGCTATGCTATTTTGCTGGTCTTGAGCGTGTTCTGTTTTCCGAAAACCAACCCAAATATACCGAGGTTTCAAACTTTGCTCTCAGTCTGCCTAGGCATCAACTATATTGAAATCATTATGAATGCCTTTGGTTCTCAGTCGACATGTGTCTGCTAACAGCAAAAGTATGCAGCACGTGCAAAGTTGGTTGTTTGCTAATTAGACCTATTGTTTCTATACTTTAATGAGATTGCAAATTATTCAAATTGCAGTTGAAAATCAGTGTAAGAAGAAAGCACGTGGCAATCCACTGCGCATTCTAAATCTCCCATTTCAGCATAACCACAATTCCTTGTGAGTGCACTGTGCATCCTAAATCTTTTATTTGTGCATAACCACAATTCTTTGCATCTGACAAGCAACAGTGATTGAATGCCCCTAAAATGTAATTTTTTGCCGATTAGAGAGCTGCCTCATTCGTTCGCTTCAGGCTCACGAACTGTGGCAGCACTAAAATGAAAACAAAAGGCGATAGGTAATCTGAAAAGAACAATTTTAAAGACTGAAAAGTTTCTTTTGAAAGCGAATGGGTTTTTAAAAAGCAGCGAAGTTAGACCAAGAAGAAGATGAAGAGGACTGTTCGGCTGTGTAAATAGCAGGGTGCTGGCATGATGTTTTGGCACGCTTTGTCATAGTCAAATGTACCAAGGGATCCTCCCACCATGCTACTCGCGATGCACTGTGCCCACTCCTGGACGGGGCAAATTGTCGCTGTGATGTAAGCTTTGAGCAACCATTGACTACATCACGTCAAGTAGCCCGGTCATACGCATCGGAAGAAAGAAAACTCTTGTGGAAAAATTTTAAAACCAAAGCACTTTGCAAGCGGTTTTGGTGAAATCTGAGACTCCACAAGCATAGAAGGGAAAGACAGACTATCGACAATCCTTTGACGGCAATTTTGGTGAGTTTGGACCATTTTCAAGGGATTTATGGAGCTTCGAGCTGGAACAGTCGGCTTCACACTCCACAGCCTTCTTCCCTTATTTCCTATTGTTAATACAACTCAAAATCTTAAATATCAATAAAATGGCCTCCAAATGGCTCTACTAAGAAGTGAAGAGACAGAAAAAAAAACATAACAAAAACACAGAGTGAGTCATTTTTATTTCTAATTTTGTCAAAAAATGGAATTTTGGAAGTATTTTGTTTGTTTTCATACATTCTCTCATAATTTCAAAGTCCCTAAGAACTCCCACAGAGTTTGGGCCAACTGTGCTGCATTCAGAATGATATACTTGACTACTAGTCGAGCACATGTAAGGACTATTAACTCGATGCAAGATCTGTTTCACTCTTGGACAGTTTGCAAATTGTTTCTCTAAAATCACTTACCCTTTCCCTCAAAAGTTACATGAATGTGCCCTAAAGTTTAATTATAAAATTTATTAACGGGAGCTTCACTATTAGCCCTGGCTAAATCTATGTACTATTCTTTAAAGCTCGTGTCTAGATACCCGGCAGCTGGGAACTGCTTGCCAAAAAAGTAGATACTCTATGCCCAAGCTCGACAGTCGCTTCTACTTTTAACCCAAGGCAATAATTATTTATAATCGGTTGAGATTTCTAAGCAAATATCTTATGTATTTCGAGAAAATTGGTCAAAATTTCTGACTGCCGGATATCTAGTTTTTTGAAAACAGTTCCAGGCTGCCGGGTATCTAGACACGTCGTTCTTTAAAAGCTCATCATCCTCATTACTTATAATTATACTTGCTTACTTGAGTCTTACCTGTCGGTGAACCATGTAGATCCGGAAAAAGACAGTAGAACCACTGTAAAAATGAGAAAGATGACATATTTGGAGAAAATCATAGCCAAAAGTTGTTCATATTGGCAAAGCATTAAACTTTTTAGGTCACTTGAAGCATGTGAAACATGCTACATGTATGCTGTGTCCACAACCGCCATCTTGAATTATACCCTGTAGGACTGGGTACGGATATCGGGCAACCTCGTCCCCAGGGTCTTCTCGCTTTCCAAAATGGCGGCCGCTGGGGGTCCTCCCGGGGGGGATTACTTTAGGACTTTTCGGGTGAGGATCTGCAGCTGGGACCCTGGAACCCTTAGCCTATACCATAGCTAGTTCAAGTGAATTTTGCTACCCTATACTAGACTAAACTCCCCAAATCCCCCCCTAACCTAGAGTAGCTGTTTTTGAGAAACAACTGAGGTCACCAGCACAGTCCTGCCAAAACAAAACCGATTTGATTTTTTTATATTCTTGAGTGGCAATTCCCAGTTTTCCTAGTCTAGAATAAAATCTCCAGCCAATAGAGTACCGAAAAGTGATGACGTCATAAAAATGAAATTTGTGAAATTATGGGATTTGTTAAGATATTCTGAAAGAACAACGTCCAAGACGCCTACTCGCCAAAAATTAGCAATTCGGGGCAAATTGTCTCTGAGATATTAGCCCAGTTATGCTGTGACGATTCCATACATAGAGAATACTTCATGGAAAGTGTTGGCGTACGGTATTTACGCACGAGTTGTTGACGTATCAGAAATCGAACGAGTGAGCGCAGCGAACGAGTAAGATTTCTGATACAAAAACAACGAGTGCGTAAATACCGTACAAAGCACTTTCCATGTGGTATTGTGTTTATTATATACATACTGAGTCATTCATCATTTTGCGGGCCTTTTTATTTTAAATCTTTCAAAAATGCTAAAATTTGCCGCTACACACTTACCGCGAAATGACAACGAAAACGAAGTATCAGCTTTTTAGTAAAAACGTTTGTTAAAAACATAAATGACGGTGAGGATATGAGGTTTAATCCAAGAACTATAAGTAATCTTAACTGTTTGTTCTCAATGCACAATTGAAAATGAGTGAATTTAAGTAAAATGGCCGGTTTAAATATAAGCTTAAGCTTAAATGAAAGGCAAAGTAGCTCCGACAAAAAGCACAACAAAAGCTTACGTCTCGTTCTGTTTATCCCTTTCCGCTGTTGTTTCACCGGCTCTCTACCGTATTTTTTTATCGACAGTGAAACAAACGAAACTATTCCACTCCATTTCCGAAATGTTTTTCACTTTTTAGCGAGAAAAAAACTCCTTGAGTAAAACTTTTCTCGTTGATAAATGTGTGCGAAGCGGCGCTGCAAGCTGCAATAAAAGGCGGGAATTTTGGCGCGAAACTCCTACACCTCTGTGGCTTCTGATTGGACGTATCATTTTTCTCACACGTGAAAAAACATCGTTCGCGATTCTGATTGGACGTATCGTTTTTTTCACGTGTGAAAACCATCGTTCGCTCCTCTGATTGGCTATAACTAATTTGCGTACGAAAATTTACGACATAGCTTTTTGGTGAGTATTTCTCAGTATGTATATAATAAAAATATATCCTTCTAAATTTGGCTTAAGCCAAGTTCTTAAGATTAGGAACCAGGTAAGATTTTACATTTAGAAGGATTTGTATGGAGTCAACGGAGCAGAACTGGGCTAATATCCGGTGTATGGCATTTGCAGACTGCTGACTGCAGACTGCAGACCACAGATTGCAGATTGTAAATTAAAAGACACCAAAAACATTCCTAATAAAGGAGACACCATCAAAAATATAACATCGTGTGAAAGTGAGAAAGTAGCCTGGGAACAAGGATGATGTTTTTGTGCAAAGTTACATTGGCCTTATTTCCAAGAGTGCTGTTGGCTATTCTTCACTGACGCGACTCTTTATTGACTCACCCGGCATATCACTGATTGCGTTGATTCTTTATTCTTCTTTGATTATTGTGAATTCAGGGGCACCCAACGGCAATTTTCTGGAAAATATTTGTTCGGAAGACGATCTGAGATCTAGAATTTTCGGAGCATTTGTTGTAAAATTTCTTGCTTGCCCGCCTCTCCTAGGATTTTCGAACATCTACAAAATGGTATAATTACCCATTTTTAGCGGATTTTGACCCTGAAAAAGGCCACCTAGAATTTTCGGGAGCCTTTACCTGGCTGAAAGGTAAGTTTTTATCTCTATAATTTTCGGATCACTAGACTTTCAGCTAGGAAATCCGAACAGATGAAACGTTTTTAGGGGATAAAAATATGCCTTTATCTGCCGTTTGAATACTAAAATACGTTCAACACTGCTATGTTAAGTGGTTTTGAACTATATCCTCGTTGGGTGCCCCTGTGAATTGATAATAACAAGTAGCAATGTCCATTAATGCCTGTCTAAATAGTAGTCTTCTGTAAAAAAAGTGTTTAGATTGTGAGCACTTCGTGCTCACTACAGTTACGTCTACAAAAACAACTAGGATAGATCACGGACATTTAACACCTTTTAAATGACGTATTTCATCTTAGCAGTATTTAAGGATATGCCAAATAATCTAAACCGAACAGATCCTACCTGGACTCGACGAATTACCGGAAGTGCATCTTGAATTTCTAAATAGGCAAATTGACAATGGCTTTTTTAACAGGCCAATCATTGCTCATGCTCAAATCCACAGTTGAGGCCCCCGTAGAATAAGGATTCGGCGCTGTTTCACAGACAGACTTATATAACCAGAGTTTAGTTTCGTGTGTGGTGCAGGCTAAATTGCTAGCCTGTTGCTATGGATTCATGAGCGAGTTTGTGACATCAGTCGGCAGACATTATTCTGCTCTAATTCAATACGAGACGAACAGCCAACAACTCCTTCAGGAATCAGGTCGGTGTAATTTGCGTGAAAAAACTTCGCCTGCTGAAATTTTCGAAAAGGTAAGTTTTGATCTCTATAATTTTCGGATCACTAGACTTTCAGCTAGGAAATCCGAACAGATTGAAAATTCCTAGGGGATGAAAATATGTCTGTATCTACCGTTTAAATACTAAAATACGTTCAACAATGTTAATTAGTTTAAGTGGTTTTGAACTATATTCTCATTGGGTGCCCCCGAGGCCTTACATGTACTGCTCGGAAAAAGGTATAATGTTGATGATGACGCCACCTTGACGATATTTTTGGTTTCATTCAATTTACAGTCTTGCTGCCTACAGTCTACAGTCTGCAGTCTGCAAATGTCATACACCAGCTAATATCTCAGAGACAATCTGCCCCAAATTGCTAAGTTTTGGCGAGTAGTCGTCTTGGACGTTGTTCTTTCAGAATATCTTAACAAATCCCATAATTTCACAAATTTCATTTTCTATGATGTCACACTTCGGTACTCAATTGATCAGTTAACATGGAAAATGATACTCTCTTCTAGACCCAAACTCTCTGATTTATATACCCTATCCCAGAGTAAACTGCTTGAAAACCATACCCTTCTCAGCGGCACACACCTATATAGCCCATATATGGCAGTACCCCCCCGGGGGGGGGGGGGTCCTGCGTAGCGTTTGTGTGTGTTAAAAGTGGGAAGGTGGTCTCTGTTTTTCTTCCGCTCGGAGACGTGCTGTTGTAATTAGGTCATGGAGGTAGCCTCGTGCAGCAAAAAAAGCCTCCATGGTTGTGGCCTCATTTTGAAAAACGTCGTCCTCACTGCAGATCTTTCGCAGCCGTAGAAACTGATTATATGGTATGGACGATTTACACTTGGATGGATATGACGAACCGAAGTTCAGATATGAATGGCTGTCAGTGTCTTTGTAATAAATAGATGTCGATATGCGGTCGTCACGGGGTGTCATATAAATGACTAGGAACGGGAGTTTGTCAGATGAGATAGACCAATTATAGACAAGCTTAGGATAGTACTTTAGCCTGCATGACAGGCGCTTTATGAGCCAAGCGGGGCGAACCCGGAGTCCCCCCCCCCGGATATTGTTCACTGCCCGAGGCTACGCCCGCTACGTTGTCCATGTATCTCTTATACAAATCAGGCTTCCTACCAGTCACAGTGTACTCGGTTAGCATCCTCTGTTCGACATAGCCAACAAAGAGACATGCGTAGTTTGGCCCTTATCTGCTACCCATTGCCAGGCCGCCTACTTGCTTGTAATATTCGCCATTAAACTCAAAAGTGTTGAGGGTCAGCACCGATTCAGCCATGCGAACAAGAGTATCAGTTGGTGGGTCTTTGACCTCCCTCTTGTCTAGGAAATATTTCAGCGACACCAGACCTTCATCATTGGGGAATGACTGTATACAGTGATTTGATATCCATTGTGAACACCAAACGCTGCCCCCTGTCATTGCTGAAACGAAGAGTCTAGTATGTTCAGCATGTGGGTGGTGTCTTTCACGTAACTCTCCAGGCCGCGAACGAAGGGAGCTGTTACCTTGTCGAGACACAAAGCTAATTTCTCTGTAGGACATGAGCAAGCGGAGACAATTGGCCGCCCAGGGTTGCCAGGTTTGTGTATCTTAGGCAACAAATAAAACTTAGAAGTACGAGGACATTCAACAAGAAGTTTAGTTGCTGATAGTATCTCTCTATAAACCTTTATATATAGAGAAAACCGTTTACATCAAAACCCATAAACGGCGATAAATCGGCCCGTCGACCACACAGGAGAGACTTAACACACATTCTAAGTAAGGTAAGCTGTTTTTTTATTGAAATCCTTTCATTTTCGTAGGTTACAGAAATGATAGGTTTTTTCCCATACAAATCCTTATATTTCGAATGTTACGCAACAATGCCGAGGTTCGCGGATGCTCATATTTCGATCTTGGGCTACCTGTGGTCAACCCCAAAAGAAATGATAGATGACGTCATACACCGTATTCGCAAATGGCGGACACGCGGGAAAAAACTGGTGCCTAGTCATGAAAGCGAGGCGTTGGAGGGTAAACAAAAATTGCAAATGAAGACTTTCAGTGAACTTGCAGAGTGTTTAGCACGGATTCCACCTAAAATAACTTTGTAAGGACTTCTTTTTAAATACAATTAGGTGGAATGTCTTCTGCTTTTAATGTTTAGTAGTGATTTGTTGTTTGCTATCAAAAGGGACGCGTATATCTTCAAGAAAACAGGATGATTTTGTAGGTTTCCGAAACCTCAGAAGCTCGACAAGTCAGGGCGATGGCTGGAGAAAAGCAACAAACATGCTGGCCCAAACTTCACACTGAAACCGAATACGAGAGCCAGGTCACTACAATTCTGTAAAACAGAAATAAAAACAGATATTGGTGGCGAAAAAAAGATAAATAAGCGACGGATATATGGCCTACTTGTCAACGGAATGGACCTCCGCCATTACACAAAACAGGTCAAGTCGAGAGCGGGTGAAAGATTCATTCACGAGGCTCATTCATTCATGTCAGCGTCATTTTATACATATCTATATATATATGTATGTCTGTATTTACAACTTCCTTTGGATCATATTAATTCCGTCGCTTTGGAGTGAATTGTTAGAGGTACGTTGGCAGAGCTTAGCAAAAATCTCATGATTTCTTTGTCATTGGGAAATAATTAAAAATAATTTTATCAAAATTAGAAGCTATAGTGTGTGAGTCTTACGGCTTGCTATTTGCCTGGTGTCCTTTGGGGCATTATCTCATGCCAGAGAGCTCTTGGTAAAAAAGTGGTATAACGCTTACATTTTACTAGGTTAAACTTTTAAGGCAATGTTTGTCAGGACTGAACACGGCAAGCTTCTGTTTCGAATAATTAAATTCGAGTCTGGATCCTTTTAAGAAGACCACCCTTTTTCTTTAATTATGTATTCTTCAACTTTAGAATATTATGGAACATAAAGTTAAAACTCTTAACAGCTAAAGATAAGAAATACGAAATTACTCGCTGAAATGATATGTGGCCGGCTTACCGAGTCTGCCGGGTAGAGTTGAAATTTTGAGCGTGCTCCACTCGATCGCTCCTGCATTTATACTAAAAAATAGTTCTAATTGATGTCCTTCATTGATAAAGACCAGAGAATAACGTCGTGGCAAACAAAAAAACCAAACATAACTTCATCGAAACCTCAGTCACCTCTTCTTTCCTGTCTTCCTTTTTTCCATCTTGACTTGAACTGTTTAGTTCAACGGCAGACGTCTCTTGCGTCGACAAGTAGGCCATATATCTGTCGCTTATTTCTTTTTTTTCTTGCCACCAAGATTTCTTTATATTTCTGTTCCACCGAATTGCCGTGAGCTGGCTTTCGTACTCGGTTTCAGTGTGAAGTTTGGGCCAACATGTTTGCCGCTTCTCTCCAGCCATCGCCCTGACTTGTCGAGCTTCTGATGCTTCGGAAACCTACAAAATCATCGTGTTTCCTTGAAGATATACGCTTCCCTTTTGATTGCAAACAGCAAATCACTGCAAACATTAAAAGCAGAAGACATCCCACCTAATTGTATTTAAAAAGAAGTCCGTACAAAGTTATTTTGGGTGGAATCCGTGCTAAACACTCTGCAAGTTCACTGAAAGTCTTCATTCGCAATTTTTGTTTACCCTCCAACGCCTCGCTTTCATGACTAGGCACCAGTTTTTTCCCGCGTGTCCGCCATTTGTGAATACGGTGTATATCACATGACAAATGAGTATGACGTCATTTGTGCGACAAATGCTCGTTGATTCCGATCGACGATGATATAGCACATAAACCGTTCATATTTGGCCACATTATTACCTAAATTACACTGGCATACCAGAATTTATGGGCAAACGTTCCCGCGGTAGCCCAAACAACGCAAACTATTTGCAATTTTGCGGTAGGAAAGTAGAGTCTACAAGAAATAGAAATTTTGGCGATTATCCGGGAGATATCAGACTCTAATCTGGAGATTGGGAGATACGGTCCAAAATATGGAGTCCCCCGGATTATCGGGAGAGTTGACAGCACTGCACTTTAGCTACAGCATCTCTTTAATAGAAATTGGGCAAGAGGAACCAGTCAGTTATATTTACGCGTTGCGTGGACCTCTGCATTCAAACAGTTTTTCCTATTCTCGCTGGTTATTAGTTCAGATGCTCCACCACTAACCTACAGGAGACTCGTGGGAGCTAAGACCACTGAAGTGATGAGGCCCTGTAAAATTCTCACAAGCGACCGGCAAGACAGATGAAATGGCGACAAAAGACATGAAGGTGACTACGACTTGTACAATCTTAAATACAATAGACCTTTTCCAAGGCTTTATCACGGTTTTTGACGCCATTTTGACGAGTAGGCAACAGCGTGAGAAATTACAGTGTTTGTATCAGAACCTATTGCCGAGTAATTTCTGTAAAACGGCTGTTCTGAAAAAAATAGATAGATATGGAACTTATTTTTAAAAAACAAAAAGTATTTACTCAGGGTAGTCCATTCAGGGAGCTTAAAAAGCATCCCTGCTTAATCAATAGGCCGTCCCTGAGTTCACTAACCAGGCTATAAAAACATACTGAAATACGGTATATCTAACCGGATTTTTGTGAACGTTATCGCCAAAGGGGGATTTTTGCGTACAAAGCAGCTATCACAAAAACTAAGGGTGCAACCACTTCTGCATTTTTTTCTCCTCCTCCTTTCCTTCTCCTCGCTCTTTCTTTTTCTCCTTTCCCTTCGTTATTGTGATTTTGGAGCTTTTCGGACTTAAGAAACCTGCCTTTATTTGACGCCTTTTTATTCAAGTGACTGCAAACTTCAAAAAATCCGTTAGATATACAATGGCGTACAAACATTAACCACAAAGGACTGCAAAGGACCGCAAACGAATATGCCGAAGAACATAGGATCTATAAAGACCTGATCAGCAAAAAGGAAAAGTAGACATATTAAATTCTGCAAGCAGAATACTGCAATGCTGATCATACTATATACTACGTGAAAATTAACTCTGCAAGATATCAACACGACACCGAAAGAACTCAAAACAGAGCGGGGTTGTAGCCATAGACAGCTGTTTCGCCCTCTTTGGGGCTCGTCCGTATGGCGTAACAACACAGAAAACTCTGGTGAAAAATATCCGCGCAATCTGATTTAAGCCCTGACCTAGAACTCTCAACACCAACAGAATCACGCCATACCACGTGTCTTCAGGGGGGTCAAGTCAAGTCAATTTTTATTTAAACTCAGACAGAATAATTATAATTAATACAAATTAGTGCTTTAAAATATAAAATCGAGAGATTGTGAAGGGAAAGAAAATTTCAATTGTACGTTCCATTTGCAGAGTTTGGGACACCTAAATAGTTCGTGGAACTAACCCGACTAACCGAGTAGGTGACCCAAACAAGAATATGAGTAGACGGAATATAGATGCAAAATAGTTGTTTTAAATAAAAAGTATTACTTCATTAGTTAAATAGTAGTTAAGATAATATAATCGTAAAACATTAGGAATCAATAATAGTATTATAACCATCAATCAAACAATTCTTGATATGTTGACGAAAACTGGAAAACGGCTTGATTTTCAAGAGGGGGCAAGAGTCCAAGTGTCAAGTTGATGTCTCGCAGAGAAAATAAAAAATTGGCCAAAAATAACCCATAGAACATGGACAAAACCATGCAAAAATTACGGCATATATGGCTACAATCCCGCTCTGTTTTGAGTTCTTTGGGTGTCGTGTTGATGTCTTGCAGAGTTAATTTTTACGTAGTACGATCAGCATTGCATTACAATGGCGATATAACCGGCATGAACTAATATAACAAGATGTCCCAAAATTACAGTCATGTCCAATACTGCCGCACCGTTACGGAGCGTTAAGAGCACTGTTGACGAAGCTCCTGTACGCTCCGCGTTGCTAACAGTCCGAACTCTGAGCGCGGGAGATCGTTAAGGTTAAGGATGAATAACAGCGGCCGTAAAATGGACCCCTGTGGTACATCAACAGACATAGGCTCAGTACTTAACACACCTTGAAATTCCACAACTTGCGGTTCTGTAGATAGTTAACCCGTCTAAGAGGGCCTCGCTCCCAATTACAAACCTGATCAAAACGTCTTGGGACACCTGAGCGAATTAGGCACAAAGAAGAACTTTGCTAAAATAGGCCTTTTCTACCTCTTTTCTGCTGCCCCCCT